CAGTCTACAACAGAGACTTGAGCATCGGCAAAGTTCTCTTTAAGCCCTTTCTGCAAAACTGTAATAAAGAATAACGGCAAAGTTATTGATGATGGAGAATTACCAGGAGTTTGTTTGACAAGTTTCTAACAACTATAAATATGTCTGTTTAGATTTATTTCAGCAAGATACATTACTTATGCTTACCCTAAGTAACTCCACTGATTTAATTGTCTGTAGGCACTTGTTTCATGCATCAGAGCTTCGGAGAAGAGCAAAAGTTTGTTCAGATAATTGTTGTCTGCCACATCAATTAATTTAAAGTATTTTAAAAACATTTTCATTGAAATATAATAACTGACTGCTCCTAGTAGCACTAGGAGCAACACAATGTGAAGTAACATGGGTAAACTTAAATCACATTCAGCAGTCGGTTTGTTTCAAAGAGCAGATAATTATGATCACAGTCAAATATGATGCAAGAACAAAGGAGAAAGCAAGTTTTAGATGGAGTGACAATCGGTTCTTCAAATACATTAACCAGACTGTTTGCAATAGCTTGATTATAAGCTGAAACCGTCTCTGCTGTCTGGAAATTTCTGCCGCCACAGCATACTGCCTACCATGTTCATGCTCTTGTGGAGATTTTCTGGCAAGTGCCACTGTCAGTACAAGAAAGATAATGAATGGTGCTGGTGATAATGAACCAAATCTGAAATTTTGGTTTTGCTTCATATCAATGGTTTTTAGGCTCAGAACCTGCAAAGTCACTCAAACAACAGGGAGGATTAGGTGAGTGCACTGTTTGGAAACAACTTCCAAACCTAAATTGAGTGTGGGATTGTCTTCACATACACTGCTTCAAATATTATGTCAAAAGGTCCAGGTTCTTTCATGCCTGGGGATCTGCTTTGACAGATTTCTCAAACTAAAGAACACAAGATCAAGTGTGTTCTCAAATCAGGCAGTTCCTTATCTGCTCAGAAGACTTTCCTGAGCCTTTGTTTCCTCCAATTAGGATTTCAGCCATACCTTACTTCTCAAGAGCAGATTTACAAAGCTGTTGACCAAAAGGGTCAGTAGAAGTACCTGGCACATTTCTAAATACATCTCAGTACCTTCTGGTAAGTGGACAAAGACAGTAAAAGGGCATTCCTCAAATTATACCCAACGGCTGAACAGCAACAAAATTCGCAGCTTACAGGAGGTCCTCGGGGGGAAAAATGGAAAATTCTGCTTTATGATGAAATTTTTCTGCTACTCTTTCAAGCTGTTCTACTGCAAGTACATGGTGTTTTCTCCAGAGCTCACAGGTTTACAGCAGCTGTGTCCTACTGCCCTAGTCTGACTGAGTGAGAAAAGCACTGAGAACCACCCAGAGTAATCCTGGGATCACACTTTCTCAATGTATGGAAACGTCAAACTGACACAGATTTGGGGAAGTGGCAAACTGAACTTGAGGGTCAATCTGAAAGATAAAAACCTTTAGTAGACCTGCTGCAGGAGAGAGACTACCTTTCTACTAGTGCAAGGAAAGAAGCTCATGAGCAACTGGGTTGGACCCTTCCAACTTCAACCATTCTGTTACTCTGAGCACATTTTGGGAAGGCTTTGGAAAGAAACAAACTAAAGAAGATGTTTCCTGCAGCCCTGTTCTAAGGCAATCACCAAAAGAGGAGCCAACTATGTTCAAGCGAGAGGATCTGCCATGTTACACTGCATCTTGCCAGCTGTGTTTTGAGTAGTCCTGAAAAATAAAGAAATACTGGAGGGTAGAGGAGGGCAGATGATCCTGTATCTGTAGAGAAGTTTGCTCTGTAGTTGTCAAAATTTCACAACCCGTGCACGAATTTGCAAATGCAGCAAACAGTTTTAAAGGGTTTGAGAGCCTGTCTGTGTGCTTAAATATCATGGGGGCTTGGGGGAGGAGTCATTGTTCGCGCTACGAAAATCATAACATATAGAAAGGTAATGATGTTCTTTACATCTCAGTGTGTTAAGAGCAGGAATTCTCCATGTACTGCCTGTAGGAAGGTTTTGGCATGAGCTTTAATGTAAGTTTGAAGAGTACATTATAAGTTCGTAAAAAGGTACACATTGCATAACTTACCCCCAGCAAGCTCCTCCAGACTTGGAACGTGAAAAGCAAACCTTTCGACTTTGGCCATTTCTTAACTGGTGCTGATTTCTTGAGGTAAGAAATTACAGTACAGCACACCGTAGGAGCAACTGATCTGCCAACAAGGATAATAGTTTAACAATTAAAACAGTCTCCTTTCAGTACGGGAATTATTTTTCAGTTTCACTCAAGAATGCAAAGACAACAGTAGAACTGTAGTTCTGCCATCAGGAAAGACTAATGGCTTCAATAGTAATATTAAAGTTTTTATAGATTTTGAAAGACATGTCTGTCAGACCTATAGCTGGCTCAGAACATTACACATGCTAGTCCTCAAGCTTGCAATTGGGTGTAGGCAACACATCCTATGCTGAATTCAGTTCAAGGGACAGGTCAGGAGATCTGTGTGTCCTTTGTAAGCCTGGAATCACAATTTGGTTTTGAAAGAAAACTGGGCTTTTCTGACACATTAGCTGCCTCCTCAGGCCTTCCCAACCTTAATATTTACTTTGCCAGCATTGGCTACAGTGGACTTTCAACCCCAGCTATGATATGGTCTCCAATTGTTTCTGGGCATGTGTTTTCCCTTCCAGGGGGAAAAGGCAAGAATCAAAATAGAAAACAACAGCAACAAGTTCTGTGGTATGAGTCTCTGTATGGGTACTGAGCTTGTAACAAAAAGTTTTGTTTGAACATAAGTTTAAGAATGCTTTCACAAATGAACTGTACTTCAGCCAGCCTTGCAACAGCAAAGTGAGTAACTAGGGCAAACGACCAGCTGAGGGCAGAAACAGCTGATCGTACACTACCTAAAAATCAGCTACAGCAATTATTAACTCCTTAGGCACATGCTTGTTGTGCACAGCAAAAAAAAAACCCAAACCAACAAAATGAATCCCACTTATCCAGATGTCAGGTGTTGGAGGAAAATGCCAAAATCCTAACTACATTCCCAGACATGGCAGAACCTTTGTTAGGAAGGACTACAGTGTGAGCTAGCTGTTTATGTATAGTTCTAGCTTCTATTTTTAAAAAATCCCACCTTTTATGACTGTCAAAAATTTTAACTGTCCTTATACAATCAGCCTCTTAAGCCTGCATAAAGGAAAAAAAAACAAGACAGTGGGGGAAAAAAAGAAATAAGAAGAGTGGGGAGATTATAGGAGTCACCTAACTGAAGTCTTTGAGATCAACGATCAGCCACCCCAAATTACTGCTGTAGCAAGCAGTAGAGAAGAAAGACTGCAACCTGTAGTTGGTCTTATCCATATCCACGGGTGACTCCCTCCCTCCTCAGGCTGCAAAGGAGAAAGTAACAGAGGAGAAACAAAGTAACAAAGGAGAAAGGCTGGATTTGGTGTCTCTGGTAAAAGCCTACCGTCAGATGGAGCGAATCACAGCCCAAGGCTTTTAGTGTGCACCAAGAAAGGGATTAATTAGCCAGAGAAAGAAAGTGACAAGATGGCTTTGGCAGCATTGTTTTAGATGATTCTCATCCCCTCAGGAACCTCTTGCCACAACTAGAAGGAGGCTGTGCCAGCACTCAGCACACTGGTTGCCCTGAGACTGAGAAGACAACCTAGAACTGTTGTTGTGCAAAAGGCAGAGGTAAGACTTGGACGCAATTCAAATAAATAGGCTTGGATATAACACCTAGACTATCACCTGCTGTGTAATGGACAGTAGTGAGCTCCCTGCAATCAAGAAAGGAGGGAAAGACTGTGAAAATCTTGATGTACCGTAGTCAAACCCGATCTGATTGCTAGAAAGTAGTCCTTACCACGAAAGACACAAAAGGCTAGATCTGTGAGCCAGCGCTGCAAGCATTCACAGGGGAGTGAATTGTGTGGTGTGGGACAGGGTGAACCTGAAAGGAGACAACAGCAGACAATTAGATCCATCACAGAGGGGTGTACTGTCACTGAATTGCTACAGAAGACTTTCAAAGAAAGTGCAACAAGAACGGAGAGAACAAGCATGTAAAGACTGAAAGTCTACCTTTGAAGCAGGAAGAAAGCATCAGAGAGAGTAGTTAAGTGTCTGGAGACTGCGGATGGAATGTGAACCATTATATTAATGATGGGGGGGTCTGTCATCAAAACCTCAATTACAACTAGTTTGGAGGGTTGAAGCCAAAAGGGATAGGCTATAGGCAGGCTAGAGAAGAGTCAGGGAGGGGAATTGGTGGGGGCAGAAAGAGAAAAAATTGAAGATGGCAGTCAGTGAGAGAGGAGAAACTCAGCGTGACACCAAGAGGAGCAAAACATCTATAGATGCAGAGGCCGTATTGCTCGGCTGGAGCGATGCGAGGAGACCCCGTACGGGACAGAGGAAGGCTGCGGGACAGCAGAGGGCTGCTTGAGCGGCTGGGATTTGGGGAAGGGACGGGACACGGCGGGACAGGAACAGGCGTGGAAGGCGAGGCTGGGGTCCTTAGGGAAGGAGAGCATCCCGGCAGGCAAAGGCAGCGAGGAGCTCTGGAGCGAGGAAGCACCAAAGCTGGCAGCACGCTTGGCACGGTTGCGAGAGGAAGTAAAAGGTTGCTCAGGCTGGAGCCGCCAGCTCGGAGAAGCCTGGAGAGAAACCTGACAGCAGTAACGACACCGAGCGGGAAGCCGGGACGTCCCGGGCGAGGCGGGTGGAGGGACCCGGGAACTGCCCGATCCCTGCTCCGCAGAGACCGCACGTACCTGCCCCAGCGTCCGGGCTCGGCTGGCTCACTCGGCTCGGCTCGCCCCGCCCCGGTCCGGGGACCGCCCACCCTACTGCCACCCCTGGCATCCCTCCCTTCGCCCCTCCTTCGCTTTCCTTCCCGCCCCTCCTCCCTCCCGTCGGCCCGCGCGCCTCTCGCGAGCTCCCGGCGCTATTTAAGCCGCGGGGCGGCCATTTTGCGCCCTTTGCGGTGGGGCAGCGGTGGAGCTGGAGGTGGGTTGGGGTGCGGCGCATCCGCCGCCATCCGCGGTGCGGGGACCCGGGCACCGAGGGAACCGGAGGCGGGGTCACGGTCCCGGCGGTGTTGAGCCGTCCCCCTAGAACTGGGGTGTGTGGCGGCAGTGTGCGAGGGGCCGCGGGGTGTCCTCGGCCGTGGCGACCTGGTGGGGGCCCGCATTCAAAATGCCTTCCCGCAGCCCCGGCCCTGGCGCGATGCCGGCGGCCGAGCCTGGCGAGAGGCCGAGCGGTGTGCCTGGCACCTTTCAGCCTGAGGTTCTTTTGGGAGGAGATACTGTGACTCTGTGAAACAGTCAGTAAGTCTAGATGTTGGTTGTTTTTCTCCCTAGGGGCTCTGCGTGCTCTACCAGCTGTCCAGGACGGAGCTGCAGGAGAGGCCGCAAAGGATGCTGAGCTGCGATCTGTGAGTACCAGCCACAGCCTGTGTAGTCAGGGTGACATTGCTGCCTGTGTCCTGGCTCTGGTGTTGGGCTGATCTGTCTCCTTATTGTGTTTGTCAGGCCTTGGTTTAACCCCTGTTAGCAGTGTGCCCTCGTAAGGCATAGTGTGGCTGGGGCACAGGTGCAGGTTGCTGTCCAAAATTACCTTTCATAGCATTAAAGAGTCGTTTAGGTTTGAAAAGGTGTTTAAAATCGTCTAGGCATTAACCTAGTATTGACGAGTCCAGCACAAAACCATAGTTTCAAAGCACTGGCTTTACACATGTACATTTACACCATTCCACTTCGGGGATGGTGACTCAGCCACTTCCCTGGGTAGCCTGTTCCAATGATATAAACCTCCCCAGTGCAACCTGATGCCATTTTCTCTTGTCCTGTCATTTGTAACTACTTAAAAGATCAACCCCCACCTGGCTGCAGCCTCCTTTCAGGCAGTTGTAGAGAGTGAGAAGTCCCCCCAGCCTCCTTTTCTCCAGGCTAACATCCCCAACTCCTTCAACTGCTCCTCATAAGACTTGTGCTTCAGATCCTTCAGCTCTGTTGCCCTTCTCTGGACACACACAGCATCTCAGTGTCTGTCTTGCAGTGAGGGGCACAGAACTGGACACAGGATTCAAGGTGCAGCTTCACCAGTGCCAAATACTGTGAGACAATCACTGCCCTGGTCCTGCTGGCTGCGCTGTTGCTGATACAGGCCAGGATGCCATTGGCCACCTGGACTCACTGCTGGCTCATGTTCAGCTGCTGTTGACCAGCACCCCCAGGTCCTTTTCTGTGGGGCAGTTTTCCAGCACTTCCTGGGGTGGTTGTGACCCAAAATAAGGACCCAGCACTTAGCGTTGTTAAACCTCATACAGTTGGCCTCAGCCCATAAATGGCAACCTGTCTAGATCCTTTGGAAATCCTTCTTGCCCAACTTGGTGTCATCTGCAAACTGAGGGTGCACTTGATCCCCAGTCTTGAGCCTTGGGAAACTCCACTGGTGACCAAAAGAGCTGTAAAAATTCTTTCTGACCTAAATGCTATGAATATCCTGAAATAAGTGGCTGTGACTTAACTGTTGCTCTTTAAGTTTAATCTACTTGCTTCTGGTTCATAGGAAAATCTATGTTGAAGTTTGCTCAGCATTGGTCTTTTAAGTTTATCCTGTGAGACTGGAGTAGTGGAAAGCTTGTTACCTCATTAACATATGATTTTCTTTATTTTCTTTAACTCTCATTGATTTTTAGGGCAAATTGAAACATGACTGATCGAGATGAGCCTCAGGCTTCTGGCTCTGATTACCATGGTGCCCAAGATCAGATACATGGTCATCAGGAGCCATCCAAGGAGTATGCATGGCAGACAAATACAAGAAAGAAGTGTTCACAGTCAAGGCAGAAGAATGCTGCTCCTGGGGAGTCTTCGAATCATCTTAACAGTATATGTGAATCATCAACTGCTTCAGCTGAGGTTTTACTTATCAGCAGCGATTCAGAAATGTGAGTTTTTACCTCTAGTTTAGAATTTTTTACTGTGAAGAACCTGTGTCAGATATCATAGAAGTAATCATTCTTTTGAAAGTAAATACTCTTTTCTTCTTCAGTGATGTCTCTGTTGCTCCTGGCAGTGAGTGCCGTCCTGGGTGCTCCATTGCACCGTCAAAGCAAAAAAGGAGGTGTCAATCTTCAAGGCAAGAAGCTGAATCTGTTGCAGAAATGCCTGACAATGAAAGCTCGTCAGATTCTTCTCTGTCTCCCCAAAGTCCAGTGAAATCATCGGAAGTTTCCAAGCAGCAGAAGTCAAAACTCAATTTGAAAGCCATTTTTGCCTATCACTTCAGGGGAAAGAAGTTTAAAGCCGCCGCACACCGAAAATACAAAGCTGGCTCAGGGAAGAAAAGGAAGAAAAAGAAAAAATGTGAGGGCACAAGGATGCCCACAGGGAGGCCACCACTGACAGCCTCACCTCAGGAGCAAAAGAGGAGGCTGCTGGACAGAGGTTTTCAGTTCCCTTTTGTCGAAAAGCATTATGGGGAGAAACATATTCCCTTAAAGATGGTTCTTGGCTATGAGGTAAGTCTTCTGATTTGTGAGATAAGTATTACTGTTTTAGTAAGTTGGCTGCGCTGTGCTTCTACCTGATGTGCTTGAATAGAACAATTAAAAAAACAGATTTTATTTCAATTAAACAGGACATCTGATGTTGTCTAATACCCTTTAAGGCAAACAGAAAGAACATATATCAGTGTCAATGTAATATTACAAATTCAGTTCATAATATAAATGCTTTTAGTGGTGTTTATAAGATCTTACCTGATAAATTTTTGTTTTCAGCAAGCAGCTGCAAAGGGATATTTCAAGTACATTGAAGTGCTTAAATATGAAGAACATCTTAAAAAAGCTTTAAAAGCCCTTCAGGCTGGTGAAGACTTAGAAAAAGAATGTGTGGTGTTAAGGAAACACAAATACCTAGATGATGAAGGCCCCATTTCTCCTATTCAGGAGACAAAGTAAGTTGATCTTATTATTTTTAGATGTTATAAGACTTATTTTTAACTAAAATGTAAATGTGTGTGTACAGGTAGGTGCATGACATCCCACACTGCCCTCAGCCAGTTTGCTGGTATGGGTGGGGTTTCAGCACTTAGTCACAAATCCAAAGAACGCATGGCACAGGGTGCTGTGAAGAGAGCTGACTGACTCCAGACCAGTAGTCTGCCACTCTTCACAGTTCGGGAATTCAGGAGGTAGTACAGTTGCTTGTAGTAGCATGTGATTTTTGTGTGATTTTAGGTAGTCCTTTCTATCTTCAGAGAAAATCTGTGGCTGAGAGTGGAATTAAGTTCATAACTGGTGTTTCATGGCACTATGGAGAAACTTCAGTTAAAATATTGGGAAGAAAGCTGTGTACCCTTATTAGCTGAGGCTTATCCTCTTATGTTCTTGCTTGTGATTATATTCTACTTCCTTTCCAACTTGCTGGCTTTCTAGCTTGTTTGGCAGTGTAATCCAAATTATCTTAATGCTGCTGTTATCTGCTACTAAATCTTTGTTCTGCCCCTAAGCACTCCTTCTGTCCTGCTGGTGTTACTAGTTAGGATGTCAAAAACTATCATTTGAGAATGACCTTATGTAGAAGTATCTTTAACCTACAAGCTGTAGCACTTTAGAAGACACTAAGAGAAAACAGGGCTTGTAGTAGGAAAATAGTTTATACATTTTGAGCTACTGTAAAAGTACGGAGTTTGATTTGAATTTTTTATATTTCAGTGATGATGAGGACAGCTTGAATTCTGACAATAAGGAGCAATATGATGCCAGAGTAGTGGTAAGTAATACTTTACTTCAGAAACTCTCTAACCTTTTTCTGCTAAATGTAAGGAATTAGTAGATAATAATGTTTTCAGTACTTAATTCTTGAGCTTAGATCCAGAGTTAAGTGTGATACCCGTGAATCTCGATCTGTAATGGAGAAGGAGGTTATTTTGAGAGTCCACACTCTCTTAAATAACATGCTGAAATGTGTAGGAATTCTGCAGTTCTCTCAAGAGTTACTGAAGTTTGCAAATTTATTATTTACTTGTATTTTAAGAATCTCAAAACCCAACTTGTCTTCCGTTTTCTTAGGAGAACAGCTCTTTCATTATAAGCAGCACAATTCCCAGTAAGAAAAAATCAAAGCCAGAAACAAAACGTGCAAAATCAACTGCAGTGATTGAAATAGAGGATGACGAAGACAGTGCTGAGGAGAACTCCTTGCCTGTGCAAGGTTCACCTCTGTGAACAGCAGATGGGACAAATGAGGTGTCAGCGGTCGTTTTTCATGACCTGCTTCGTTTAAAGCATTGGTCTGAAGTCAGTGTTGAGCTACCTACCAAGCTACCCAGTCACATCTGGTGTAATGTGAGTATATTGGGCTTGTGTCTGATGCAGTTACAAAGCAAGTATAATCTGTTGTTTTGTTAAGCTTTTAAGTGTGTTCTGTGCTATTCTCTATCAGGAATATAATATCCTTGGTTCAATGGCTGATAATCTTGCTGAAGTTCTGGCTTCTGCAACTTGACCTCTGTTAACCAGTGGATCATAGAATTTATGTAATTAAACAGGCAAACAAGGTCCAAATACCGTAACATAGCAGCAGCACAGTATAGAATAGTATGCAGTTGCATGCATACACCTGTATGCTCAAGTTAAAAGGGCAGTTTAAATGCCTTTCTTCAGTTTTCATAGCTGACTTCTTTGTGAATGGCCTGTGGCTTAGAGGTGCAGATTTAAAATACTTAGAGTTGAGAGGCTGAAGACAGAATTGAAGCTTAATGCAAATAAGTACCAACAACAAAAATGCAGAAGTGGTTGGTCAACTTCAACAGAAGTCTATTGCAAAACATGGTTAATGCATTCAAATAATCATAAAATTGATTTTGTATGATTGAGGTTGTCAATTCCATGTGGAATAACTTTTCAGAAAACTAATTCTCTGCTCCTGAATCTAATACAATAATCTGACTTTGTAAGTTATCTTAAAAATAACTGTACCAGTATAGTGAATCTTGGGTTAAAAATTCTTTTTCCCCTCTTGCCCTCTGCTATCCAGAATGGGTTCTGATGTGAACATAACTTAGCAGAAGATAAAAGCTCTTCATAATGACAGTTCTTAACAGGCATTGCCCCAGCAGAAAATAACTTTCTCTAAGGTGTTTTAGTCAGTAGGAAACCTGACCAGTAAGTGTTTAGAAATGGTCTGAATACAGCCAAGTCCTTCTGTGTGTCATGGTAGCTGAAAATATAAAAAAAAAGTTTAAAAAGTTTCCTTGTCAATAAACAAGATTTAGAGACCAAACAGTCATCTGCCTGCCTCAGATGCTCTTAACCAAATTGCTGTCAGCAACTAGCAGCTGTTCAGGAGGTAGAAGTAGTCTGTGCTGAACAAGGATGTTGTCCAGGAAAGGTTTTATCTACTGGTTTAATGGCAGTCTGAGGTGATTGGCAGTAGGTGCTCAGTATTGAGAGCAAGTCAAGCTGCATTATTTACATGCTTGAACTAAGGTACCAGACCTTTGTGAAGGAAGTTTCCCAATTACAACTTGGTGGTTCTAGGACTGAAAAATTACTCTTCAGTATTTGAAGATCACATTTAATAATAGTCCATAATTAATGGCCAGGTGTAACTCCTTTAGGCGTCTACCTGAGAAATACTCAATGGCTTGAAAGACTCAATCCTGGATCTAGGAGTGGGGTTCTTGCTTGGTAAGGCATAGTGAAGGGGGTATGTGGAGTCTTGCTCATTCTGCAGTTCATGTGATGAATTTTGTTGTTCAACTGCTGAGTGACTCAGAAATGAACTAAATTTTAATTCTGATTAGAACTGGATAAGTACACGTGCAAATCAACTTATTACAACTGTTACACTGATTGCTGAAACCTAGCTTTGAACTTGACTTGACCGTATATGACAGTTCTTATTACTTTGCTTTTTCTTCTAGTTTATATTGCTTTTGGAGGATGAAATACCACTCATTTTTCTTGCTGCAAGAGGTAAGCTGTTGGTTTCAGTTTTGTTTCCTTCAGGTAGCTTTTTTTACTGTACTTCACAAGAGGTTTTGAAAAAACAGTGCTCTATACTTGAAGTGGATGTATTACAGTGCTTCACAGCTGCGCAGCTTTTGTGTGTGAAGGTTCCAAGGTCTAGAGTTCAGTCCCACATCTCTTTCACCAGTCTGACCATAATTAGCCTATAGCCTCTTTGAATGAAAACAAAAACTTGAGTTCTTGAATATCTGTTAAGTGCAGTTTTTGTTAGAAGTTTTGTATTGAAATACTTTGTTTTTACCTGATGTTGCGTGCTGCAGGGCAACTTTGTCTGGTTTGGACAATACTACCTGGGATTTTCTCTGCTGAAGATGTTGAGGAACTACTGTACACTTAGTCTCATCGTGGTGCCTCACACACACTTTCTGTACCAGGGCGTATCATACAGTTGCAGCTTCTGATGGCTTCCCTGTGGTAAAATTCCATCTTAAATCATGTCCCATGCAAGAACAGTAGGGACAGCAGAGAGGAGCTGGTAGTCTTGCATGTACATAGCTGTGAAAGCTTCTTACTGTAGGATGTTATCAAGTTTGTGTGGCTTCAGGACAGTGTAGGAAATAGCATGGAAGAAAGCACCGTGTAAGGTTACTGCATAGGAAAACACCTGTAACATGGGAAGCGCTGAGCTAAAGGTGATCAAGTAATGAAACCTTACAAGAACATTCTTTAGTAAGAGGATAAAGAGGATAGGAACAGGGCGTCTTACTTGGCCAGTGATGTAGTTAGGAGTACTGCGCTGTTCAACACAGCATAGATTGTTCTTAGGATGGCATGTCTGATGCTGAACTCCTTGCCACAGTTACTTTTTGGTTTAACCTACCTGTCTATAGAATGAGAAAACACAATAGTAGTGGAAGGTGACAGTTTTTAACAGTAACTACAGTGAATTGGGAAATAGCTTCAAATGCTGTTTCAAAGATAGTAAAAGATGAATGCATTCAGTCTGTTCTAGCACTTGATCAGGTTTTGTCTGTTTCTGTAGACAAAAACCTGGAACCTAGTGCTTAGAAAAAACCCTTCTTTTGCAACCCACAGCTGATGAACATATTAGTTGTGTTACTTATATGAAGGGACAATATTTGCATGAACTCCACTGATCAATCTCAGGCATGAGTTTAATGTACCAGATTTGTAGAAGTGTAGGTAGCTCAGTTGTATCTCTTTCTTTGCAGATGAGAACACCAATGCTGCAGCAGTGGGCAGATTTAATTTTTTGGGGAGCATTTGATTTATTATGGCTGTTTGCTGGCCCACTGATTCACAAATCTGACAGTTCAGTGAATTTCTGTTCAACATGGGAGTGAAGGAGGTAAGCTTTGAATTTCATTTGAGCTTCAGAGTATGAGTATTGGACTTCTTCAGACATACTGTTTCCACAGCAAGTTAATCCCACTAATTTGTGCACTGTATGGTATCTGCACCCAGCAGTGTCTTCCTGATGGAGTGTTCAAAAAGCAGTGCTACAGTATTTCAACAGCTGGCATCGTTGGTTTTCATGCAGATGTGCTTGTTAAACTTGGTATTTCTGTTGAAACAAGTAGGTTTAGTGTTTCCAAACTGGGAGGCTTGTCAAATACATTAAAAAACTGTTAAACTGTTACGGGATTAACATGTAGTTAAATAAGTGACCTTTTTCCAAACTATTTCTTCTTTAAGGGGCATTCTTGTGGTGTCTGGAATGCAGTAGAAGGCCTCTACTTAAGTTGTAAGTATTAAGGAAATAGTTGGCTTTTTCCTTGGTGGAGGTAGTTGGACGAGGATCATAAAAGCTCAGGTCTTAGGTTTTTGGCTGCCTTTTTCTGAAGAAAAAAAAGAGGCATTTTATTTTGAGACATAAATCCAAGTAGCAGGTGACCACTAAACAGGTTTCTTTCGAAGTTAACTGGCTAGGCTTAAGAAACAGTCTATTCCACAGCCATTGTGGAGTTGCTATGCCTCGTTCTTCAGCAAATAGGCACAACCTGCTGTGTGTCTGAATTGAAAAACGTGGCTAGAAGAGTGACAGGTTATGCTTTCCTCACTGTAAAGTTAATTGCAGTGGTGACAATGAGACCTGTAACAGTTTACTTTGTGGGACAGTTCTGCAAACATACTTAATGCAGCTACTGTAAAATCTAACAATTCACTTGTTCCGATGTGCTTGAATTCTGCATCCTACCTACTAAAGGAAGTAGAATTAGCAGGTAGAGGAAAAATACTTGCAGTGAAGAGTTCTTGTACGTGGTTTGTTAGAACATATTTTTAAGATGTCTTAAAATGGTGTATGTGTTTTCTTTGTGAGGTAACTCCCTTAGTTGTACCTTCTGTGCCACAGTGCTCCAGTTTCTTAAATTGCAGATAGACCTTGTTGGTAGTTGTGTGGTATACTGGACCATGGCTTTGATGTCAACTGAAGTGCTTTGTTATGTCATTAGCATTCAGGCAGTGTAACAGGACCACAGTCTACCTGCTTCATATTGAGTATAAGAGTACTCAAGTCCTAATAAATTACTGAAATACTGAAGAATCTTGACCATATTGATCAGATGCAACAATTTACTTTGTTTTAGGAAGTCCATGTGATAGTCCAGTCTGAACTACCGTCTTGGTAAGTGTGTGTGACTGGTTTTTAACACTTCCTGTTGCAGGTCAGCTGCCTGTCTTTCACTTGGTAAGCTGGTTGTAGTGCTGTTCTTTTCTTACTGAGAAAATGCAGTGGTTTAGAAAATATGAGTTTATCTAACCCCAAACTTGAGAATGCTGTGAGAAAATTGTTGTGATGATTGGCAAAATGTTCAACTGCTCTGAAGAGAGTGAGTGAGAATGGCCTTTCTGAACAAATTACTACATAAATGTACTCTTCAAGTCACTTTATTTTTACATGAAAATGTCTTGTCTTAGTGAGGAAAGATCATGACTGTGACTTTGTTTTAAAAATAAAGAGGAAATTAAAAGGAGCTGTCAAATAGCATAATATTCAGACACTATAGTTGCTTGAAATGTGATTCCAAATAGAGACTCTCAGTAATGCTTGTGGTAGTTAGAACCACTTAAGTACTAAGTGCTGTTGTAGGTTCTGCTGATTTGTAGGAACATCATGCTGGTTTATAACATTACTTTGCTTTTTCAGGAGGCATGTATTTAGAGAAAATAACAGAAGAAATGCAGGATGCCATTTCACAGCAATCCGAAGCTCTCTCTAGGGTTAGTATGACATTTGAAGTTTTGCATATACCTTAATGACTGAAGGACTCTGGTGGCTGGAAGTCCTATCAAATCTAGTTTACTGTTTTGTGAGGGTTTCATGAACTGGTTTCAACACTGCATTACTGTAGCATTCACTCTCTTAGGGGAACAATTTATTGTAACTTTGATTTGCCTAAAAAGCATTCATACAAATTTCTCATTCAGAAAGGAGGTGATCAGGTTAACTGCATAAACTGACAGTTTTGCTTGGACAAGTGAGTTGCACTTTACAGTAAATTTATAGGGAGGATTCTGTACATATTTGTAGTTAACTGCCTTTGATGTTTGCTTTTCAGGTAACTATTACTGTTAAAACTGTTGCTAATATGAAGGAGTTACTTCATCTTCTCCAGGTGCCAGCTGTTGAAATCATTTACTCTCCTTCTTCCCCAAAATATCTTGAAACGACTTAAAAAAGACACTCAGCGGGATATATAGCAGATACATTTCCGATCTGCTTGATTTTTATCTGTCATGTTAATATATAGTACAAGGAATGCTGAGGTCTATCCCGATAGGATCTTCTCTGTAGGTTCGTGTCGTTGGAAACGCCTCACAGAATAAACTTGTGGTTTCGCTTTACCCATTGAACTACCTGTTAGCTCTGTGGGATAAAACTGCAAGACATCTTCATGTAGCATCCTAGGAACTGTAATAATGCACCGTGTTCTCCTTTAGGTGTACTGTGACATGCTTTGATAGAAATGAAAAAAATTATTCAAGTGGAAAAGCTTGGTAAGAGTCAAAATACAGAGTGTTTTGGGACATCAGGTGCAACTAACGTACTAAATTACACAGGCTGAATTTATTCTTCACCCAGGTTTTAGTGTAGATACCTGACTTTTAACACTATTTTTTGCTGCTTGAGTGTTCTGGATGGCTTGAAACAGTCAATTCCCCCTTCATCATGGAGTAATTATTCTTGTGGTGGCTGTAGGCAAGAAGAGACAGCACTGTGGTGTCTGTCTTGAAGTAACTTACTGCGTTTGTTTTGTGTCAAGAGATGCTCCACAGTTTCACACTGAGCAGCTGCTGTTCAGGTGAAAGGAGCATTAGGTGAAATTCATGGAGTCTGTTTTCCCTCTCCAGTTGCATGGCAGCTTTTGTGAAATGACAAGTACCTCTTATTCCCAGACACTAACTGGTGCATGGAAGAAGGCTGAATGTTAAAATGAGCTGTTCATGGATGGAGAACTGCAGCTGTTTCTCTGTATGGCACTTCCACCCAGCTGCATTCTCCTGATGAGGTGTGCAAAAAGCTGTGCTACAGCAGTGCAGTGTTTGGCATCACTGGTTTTTGTTCAGCTGTGTCTGTTAAACCTGGTATTTTTTCTGAAACAGTCTTTGACCTCTTCAGTGATTTAAGTGTACTTGCTTTCTATTTTCATGTTCCAGTGTGAGAGCTGAGTATTAGCCTCTGGAACTCAGCAAGTGCGTTCAGTTTCTTCTTTCTAACAGGTGCTTTAGGATACTGAACAAAGTGAACCTCCCTGTATTAAAAAGATGAGCTGTGGAAGGTAAAAGCAGCCTGTTTTATAGGTAAGCAGTGAGTTACTACTCTCACACTACACAGTTTGTGTGCTAAATTAGTATGATTCTAGGACATTTAAACTTAAGTAAACTGTTTTAGAAAGAAGTATAAAAATGGTTGTCTAGTACCAGAGAATACTGGATGGTGATCACTCCAGATTTTGGCAGTATCTGAGCAGGTCACTCATCTGTGAGTCATTCTTGTGTGTGTATATAATGGCTGTCACAGTTGTGCAGTGGTTTGTAGTACTAGTGTCTTAGACTGCTGTTGGTTGTGAGGAATCAAGTACATCTCCTCTGTACTTTAAGATTTTAAAAGATTTTAGTCTTGTTGGTACACAAATTGGCTTTAATGTTGGCAGGATTAATTGGTCCATCACTGGAAAGGATGGGCAGAGTGAAGTCCTGGTACGGGTGGTGAGAGGAGTGTCTGGTCATTACCAAGGCTGCTGGGATGTTACTGTTTCTGGTGAGCTGTGGACATGACCGTAAAGCAAGTCCATCAGACTCTTGTATTGCCATACGATGTGGCACCAAGGCTGCTGGGAATAAAGCTTCAATGTAGGTCACAGACACAATGTTCCCTTTGCTGTTAGGAGGAAGTTGCTGCTGAGGTGTAGGTATGTGGTTGGTATCCTTGGGTGCCTCCAAAGTTCTAGCTGGAACCTTTGTAGATTGGACTCCACAGCTGCTCTTGAGAAGGTAGTGCTTTTGAACAGAAGCAAAAAAGGGAGACTAAGGCTGCTCCATGCAATTTATATCCAACTTGTGTGTTGTTAACTCTTCCCTTACACTAACCAAACCTGACTCTTTAACTTCCAGTGTCTGCTACCAAGTTGCTGCATGTCAGAGGGATGAGAAACTCCACCTGAGTGCTACCAAAGTGAGTGTGAAGGTAAGAGCACTTAACCAAAATGGTTGGTACTATAAAGAGATTCAAGGTCACTTCAAAGAGGGTTTGCATGGCTGAAAAACCAGCAGCTCTTAACGCGGTGACCGCAAATTGAAATCCTCTGCAGGATGCCGTGGACACGTAGTGTGTGCTATGGTCTATTTATGAGGAGATACACCTTATGTCCTTAAGCCTTTTGAGGGGAAAAAGGATGCTAATCTTCTGCCCTTGGGGTTTTGTGATGCTGATGTAGAGGAAAGGCTGCTCAGTTTCATTCTGAAACCAGCTGACATTTGTAGCATGGAAAGTTAAAGCTGGAGAACAAAAGGGTTGTGGTATGAGCAGTCTTGTAGCCCAGTTGCTGCTTGTGTGTCAAGAGGAGGGCAACTGAGCTGGTGAAGGGTCTAGAGCACAAGTTCATTTTGGAGCAGCTGAGGGATCAGTCAGGGGGTCAGTCTGCCAATTAAGAAACCGTGGGATGAGAAGAAATGACCTCAAGTTGTGCTGGGGACATTTAGATTGGATAGTAGGAAAATGGCTTTTTTTGGAGTAAAAGTGCTAATAGATTTTTTTTTTCTCCCTCAGGCTCTGGTGATATTGCTGAAAGTCTGCTGCAGTGAGCTACACAGCTGTTCCAAATGGAGAAAGATCTTACCTAAAGTGTTTATTGCAGTTATTTGGCATTAAAAGTAGTGCATATTGTGACTTGCCTCTTGCCCTCTTGTGAGATATAAAGGTGCCTGTGTGTTAGAAAAGACCCAGCTGAGTATATTGTGTTGTAATTTGACTGAAAATAACTTGATCAGGTGTTTTCCCTCACTTCCCTGTCACTGAATTCTCACTGTACTGAAGCCCTGGATAGGTATTTATTCTGTACAGAATGTCATAGCATTTAAATAAAACTGTATCTGAGCTGCAGCCTGAGATTATTTCCTGTTGCTACACTGTGGCTTTCAAAGAAGGGTGAGAAAATCCTCACAGCTGATCTCCTGAGCCTTGGTCTCTTCCCTTCTGATCATATTCTCAGAAAGGAGCTAGAATACTGCAGAACTGCCCAGGTGAAGCTGAGACCATATACCTGCTGTACTGCTCATTATTTGCACTGCAAACAGCCTCCACTGACCTCTGTGGCATAACAAACTGATTCTGGTTTAGGCTTTTTACTTATGCAGGAGGTAAGTTGTTTTGCTACTCCAGTACATGCAACTGCACCAGACTCAAAGAAATCAGTGAAAGGACCTGTACAGTGTAATTAATTGTACATCTAAACTAAGCTAAGCTTTCTGGTGGAACATGTCCAGAGGAGTCCATGAGGGTAACTGGATGGGAGCATCTCTCCTGTTAAAACAGGCTGAGAGAATTGGGGTTCAGCCTGGAGAACAGAAGTCTCCAGGGAGACCTTTATAGCACCATCATTGCCAGGGGCTTGGACAAGATGACCTTTAAAGGTCCCAACCCCACCTATTCTGTGATTTACTGGCATGTTTTAACCCTGATCAGATTGAATGAAACATCTCTGCTATTGCACCTGCTGATAACCAAGTTCAAATTTTAAAGCACAATTTTTGCTATAATTTGCCCTGGTGCTTTAACTACTTAGCTATGAATTGGAGTTCATCAAACATGGACAGAAAAATGTGGAAGTAGCAACAGTAAGATTTTTATTCTCTTCAAGTGCTTGAAAGACGTACTGCATGTGTACAGGAACCCACACTTCTTAAATCATAGTGCAAAGAACTGATAAAAACTCCAGCGTTACAGAAATGTCTTGCCTCAAAATGATTCAAGTCATCTTTAAAACGCAACTTTATTTGAAAATGTTTTATACATGTATATTACAAAAGTTAGTATCTCCCTTTAAAACATAAATGCATATCTAGAAAGGCCTTTCATTCCCGTCTACTCTGAGACAAACCATGTTGAAAGCAGCAGGCCATCTGCTTCTGTAGTGATTTCCCTAAACAGGAGGGTAGTACAGGGGGTTTGGGTTAATCACTGTTTTCCTACAGCTTAAAGCTGAGGATTCCTAATGGCTTTGCAATTAAACATTGTCTGGGTTGTACCAATACCATAGCGAGGCTTTTGCTCAAAGTCTGCTGCCTGTCACAGTGCTTTCCAAGACTTCTTGGCTCGTAGTTTTTCCAGCATTTTCTGCAAATAAAACAAACCATGAGACTAGTGCAGCTTAAGCGACTACACTAAAAACCAGCATAGCTAGAGGGGCACAACTGAGGTACTGCCCCATCTGTTTGACCTGAACATCAGTAATAGACAGTGATGAGTTCAGTGACTGTCCGGGCTTCAAAAAGGCCACAGATTGCAGGGTGGGAGAGAAGGTGTGCTTATTTATTTTATGTTAATTATGGAATCTGTAAAGCAATGCAATGAGAGCACCAAAATTTATTCCACCAAAAAGAAGTTGGGGTGGTCGATGCTAAAGGCAGGATTTTGGCCTGGAGCCCCCTGGAGTAGTCACAGCCTCTCAAGATCATCAAGCATTTCCTTCCTTCCAGTTGTCCAAGGCCCAGCAAGAGAACAGGGAATTAATGACTCCAGTCCTCTAGTTCAAGCCCTCTTCTACAGCAACTAGAGGAAAACCCAGACAAGATTCTTGCGACCTGAAGTTCAGGCATGCTCAGAATGTTACCCTAACCTCAAGCAGCCAAAGCAGCCCAAAACCCACCAAACCTAGAAGTTGCCTTATAATGGAAATTCAGTCTAGTTTGAACTACTGAAAACCCTGCCATTCTTTTGCCATATAGATTTTCTAACAGCTGGAGCCTTTTTGCTCAAGCTCAAATCACCAGAAAAATTCAGCCTGAGGCAGCCATGCATTTTAGATGAATTTTCAGCTCAGTCATAGTGTTGACAAGGAAATTCTTATGTGGGATGTACCAATGCCATCACTTAAAATCCAGACTGGTTGGGTGGTCTCCATTTCAACTGCACTCAAACTATGCTTCAGTGACTAATTAGAAGCTCAGTGAAGTCATAAGACTCAACAGCCAGGAGGACAGTGTAACAAACTATTACCTTTTGAAACTCTTTAGCTTTTTCTCTGTTTTTAGCATAAGTTTCTTGCCTTGTTTTTTCTTCCTGTCTGATTTTTACTTCTTCGAGTTGATTATAAAGTCTGTGGGAACAGTAGGAAGAAAATTGAGTCCTGGCAGAAAGGAAGTGGCAAAGCTGGAGTAAGTTAACAAGCTTAAGGGTTTATACTGGCTCACTTGCTAGCAATTAGGAAAATTTGACACATCTCTCCAGTAATCTAGAATCACTTCAAATTCTTCAGCTGTATCAAACAAACCCCCTCCACGTTCAGGAGCTGCCCTTGGTTCATGTTACTGCTCATAAGTGCCCAAGTGCAACTGTGAACTTTGCTTCAAATTTTATCTAGTGTCAGGCATTAAGTGGCACAGCAGCCTCAGCCTGGTGAAACCAGCAGGCTGACCTTGTGTTCCTCACTGCCACCCATGCAAGGGCCTTTTCCCAGCAGGTACCTGGATCAAACACTCTTGGCTCCTCTCTCCCAACTGTTGTGTTAAGCAGCACTGGGTTCAGCCGGAAGATCACAAACTGTTTTGTCTGACCAAGAGCTTTCATAAGACACAGATTAACTACTTCTGTTGGTTTTAATTCAAACTTCTCCCACTTTTGTTCATGCATTACCTGGATGTACGCTGGTGCATTTCAATTTCTCCGGCCTTCCTGTCCTCTGGAGAAGATACTCTCACTTCTCCTACTTTTTTCAACTGACTGGCAACTGCACCATTTTTTCCTAGGGAGAAAAAAAATAAAAAGCCAAACATATCTTAAATTTAACTCTCTAGTTTAGCTAACTCAAAAGCATGACAGGTTTTCAAAGATTTTTAAATGACATGACAAAAAAAGAAACAAGCTAGCAGAATGGACACAATGGAGATGATGTCTTGTGTTAAAATAAATCCTCACAGTCTCACTCGTTAGGCTACTGCCTGTGCTTTAAGCCAGCCATGGCTCTCAACAGCCGACCTCCAAGTCTCCAGTAACAGGCACTAGAGATGCACCAGTTCGAGTAATGTGGTTGTTCTTTGATAAACAGCCATTGCTTGCAAAGATACCTATAACAACAAATGTGGGCTGATTGTGAAAGAGCACCCATAAAACTCTTTACAACACTGAACTGAAGAGGTAGCAGGGCAGTGGAGGGGGGGAAGCTCCCTGCATTCCCAAGAAAACAAAGAATATCCCAGTTTGCAATAGCAAACACATAACAAATATAAACTCTGTTCTTTGATATACAACAGCAATTATAAGGGTACCTAATGGTGTGTCTTGTCCCCAGACAAACCTACCAGAGAGAAGACAAAACTCCTTTTGTCTGCTTCTTAACTCCTTAGACTTTCCTCCTCGAAGCTTTCTGGCTTCCGGCTTTTCATTTTCTCTCTCTCTCTTTTTTATTTCTTCTACTCTTTTCAGAGATTCCTGGATGAAGTTCTGCTTTCTTTTTAAAAAGGATTTTTGCAAACTTCCAGATGTAGCTGCAAACTCCAGCAGCATCACTGTGAAGCAAAGTTCTCACTGTTAACAACGAGCAGTAAGTCATGCATTTCAATGTACTTCTCCTAATATACTGAAGTTGACCACTTTTGTAAATGGCACGAGGAGAATGGCATTGTGAGTGATGAGGCATCTTGCAAAACAGGCAGCAATTCAGACCTATGAAATCTAGTCGTGGTCAGCAGGTCTGCTGAGACAAATACTGCATCAAAAGCATCTTGATGCCTCAAAACATATCAAAGACCTAATAAGTCCCTAACACAGTTAAGTTCTGTCAACTCCTGTCTTTCATGTTACTGTGGTTCATTTTAGACAAAAAATATTTCAGTATTTTACTGCTGGTTCCACACTGTTATCAGAATAGAGAAAAAAAAACAAAAAAACCTTCTTTGGCTACAGGGCTTGGGAGACTAACAGGAAATGAGAAATAAGTGAATGTGCAACTGTGAAAACAAATCACAAAACAACACAGAATTTTTCAAAGTTAAGCTGTCACAATACAAAAACAAGTGTAGTGTAGAACTTTCATAACTTGGGAGTGGACGAGACAAGCAATATGACACACACTAAACCTGGGTCAAACGTACAACAAACCAAGCATGAACAGCAAGATGCATTCGCCTAAGTAAAAGCAGCTCTAAAAAATTTTCCAGATGAGAGGTGTATTTTACTGATTATTTTAATAATAAAAAAATTTACTATCTCTATCTCAGCTTCAGTATATTTAAGTTACACATAATTACCTGCAGTCCGATGTGACGGACAGTGACTGTTGTTGGGACTCTGGGCTTTGGGAGAGCTGTCAGGCCTTGTGAATGCTGAATAATCTGCATCTGGAGCTAGTGGTAAAAGTTCTCTCTCCTGTTTCAAAAGGAATCAGTGGCTGGAAATGCTTAAAATACACCGCCAATTTGAGTGGAGCGGTACTACTGTACCACTAGCTTAGACCCAATGCAAATAAAATACATTCTTTTGCCCTTATAGCAGATGCAAAGAAAAATCAGAAATGGATCTTTGTAATAATTATGAAAAATCTACTTTCTAAAAACATTTTAAAATTTAAAAAAAAAATCCATTGAAGACTTTTTTGCCCACCAGATTCAATTGGTTGTTCTTAATACAGGGCAGCATAATTCCATCTGCTTTCATTTCCTACTGTTCTCTCTAGTTCTCCCCCATTACTCTCATCCCACTTGACTCTTTCTCTCTTTGTCAGTGGCGGGTGACACCCACTGCAGCAGTACAGCCTCCAGCTGTCAACCTTCACTTCTCCCTCGTATCAATTACTTTATAAAGACCCATCCTTGGCCACTTTTAGGATCTTCTGTAGATGCCTCCTGCAATTAAAGCATGATTTCATCTAACTGACACAGATTACTTGGTTCTACATTATTGCTTCAGCACCCAAATTATTGTCTCGTTAAAACCCAGCCCCTCTGCAATTTATAGCCTTTGCTTTATATAAGCAAACAGCAAAAAGCACACCATGGGCTAACTAAGCGTGGCAGAATGACAAGCTGGTTATTTTTTCCCCATAAACCTCAAACTGCTGTGTGAGCCTGCTATGGTTCCATCTGCTAGGTAGGGGATTTTTCCTTTTTCTTTTGTCCTACATTCTCATTTCGTTCAAGTTTTCAACTAGTGGGATACAATTTAATCTTGCAAACACCAGCAAGACGGTTTGTTTCTTGCAGCAAGTCTTCCAAACTCTGTCTACACCAATATGACAAGGTAGTAATTTTAAAGAATAGCCCAAATTTAAGATCTATTAGATCTCTCCAGAAAACCTAATGTCAAACTAGGATGATCCAAGCAATTACTAAGCTTGGATAACCCAACATTCTCTTGTTTTGCAACAGTGGATTAACTGCTACAGTGGGGCCTCTCTTTATTATGATTAATACTAAGTTAGTATTACATTAGATAATGCTCACCTCAGGAAAAACATTACATTCAGACTGACCCACACAGGTTGGGTTATTGATTTTATCCTCAATTTTCTGTTGGTTAATATGTTCAATGTCCGATTCTGCAGTACTGATGTCATTTGAGCTTATCAGAGTGAGTTCTGGTTCTTCCATAATACCACGCCCTGACTCAGTCTCCTAGAAAAGAAAATATACAAGTCACCAATGTAAAAACAGAAAAACTAAAAAAAAAAATAATAATAAATATTTCCAGCAATAGCAACAGCTGTTGTTAGAAAGAAGAGGCTCATTCAAGAGGAAGAAGAAAACCCACCCCAAGCAATACATGAAATACAGAAAGAGAACATGTATATCAGAGTTCAAAAAACTGAAACAAATAATGCAAAGCAGGCAAACAAAAAAACCTCCACCTCTCCTTCACTCTCCTCAAGTTTAAGTTACTTAGTTCTAGGGCAAATTTCTTTTAATGCTACATCAAAGCTATTTCCTGAAGTTTGCTTATGCTTTGGTTAATTTATTTACCTCCTTCAGGCTTCTAAATGGGGACAGTGAGGTAACAGTGACATGAAACCCAGCTGCATGTGCTCTACCAACCGATAGTAAGAGAGGGAGACGAAACAGTTCCTCAAACCATTGTGGGAACTCAGCTCATTTTAGCTACTGCTAATTATTTCAGTGCTATGATCTGAAAGTAGTAGGGCAGAAGTCCAGAAAACAGGAACCAGAACTGTAAAATCAACATTTGCCAAGCTTTCAGATATTAAAGGTCTAAAATAACTCGGTGCAACAACAAAAACCCCTACTTTTGGAAATCTGTTTTACTCACCCAGACTGGAATACATGAGCTTCTGGGCACAGAACGAGAATGTTTCTCATGTCTTTCCAGGAAAAAACTGTTTTGTTGTACAACAGCATGCAAATGGATGTCTGAGTCTTCCAAGCTGGTTTCTCTGAGAACCCTCAAACATTCCTGTCCTTCTGGAAAGCTTTGCTCTGGCTCCTTTATATTCATATTGCACTGAGAATTCAGCTCCACAGCATTATTTACTTCATGTACAGGAACTGATTTTTCAGGAAGCTTCACATGCTTCTTATCAAATTCCTCCAAAGGTAATTTTTCTGAAGACACAGTCTCTTTTAATAAGTGTGGAGAACAAGTTTCATCCATTGTAACTGGCGTGGTATCTACTTGATAAAGTGATTTTTGATCTTCCAGTGGAATCAGACTTTCATTTCGCAGACCTTCCACTGAACACTGGAGGCTAATACCTTCCATACTTCTTGACAGTTCTTCATATTCTCTTGCAGGTAAAACACAGTTCTCATGGCCCCCATCTTCAGTTCCAGGGGCTTGCTCAAAAGATCTCTGTAATGCAGCCCTACAATCCACTGGCTGATCAGCATTCTGAGAGATATCACTCAGCGCAGATTCTAATTGAAGAGGGTGAAAAGATTCTTCAGATCCTGTTTCAAAAATTGTCAGAAGTCAAACTGCTTGCTAACAAAACAGAATTTTCACTTTAAAAGTCTCCCCATAATAAGACTTTTCAGTAATGTATAACAAAAATTCTAGTAAATAGGAAGAAATATTTTTTTTAAAAAAGTCTGCTTAAGTTTCCTCAAACATAGTACCATTAACATTAGAGAAAATGATTCCATCACTATACACAAAATTTTGAGAAACAATATTTTTGTTGCTTCTTAGAATATGTTTAGGGATGGACTTTGTGATGGTGGTGACATAATGACATCCATACATTTTACAACTTATACTCTGTAAGTGGAAGTCCTCCGAGTCCCTTTTGCACTTCCAACAAAGTCTCTAAACCACAAAGAAAACAATCCAAAACACCATTACAGAAACTTTCAAAGTAGAAGACAAGAGGAATAAGGACTGCTGTTCCTACAAGATACAGCAGTGCACCCTGAATTACCTTCCTTGAACTGACAACCCAAAATGCTTTTTACTTGCTTAGCCTGTTGCTTATGTTATTTTTTTCCATACTTCTAAAGCACAACAGTAATTAGTTTGTTATTATAAAAACACATAAGAGATGGGGAGATATTGCAGTTAAGACTCAAAGCACAAAGATTCTTTCTATAAGCAATTTAGAAATAGAGTGTTTTGAAGTTAGAAGGGAGCTTCCTAAATCCTAGTTGCTGTGACCACAGTCACAAAGTCTTTAAGTGTAAACCTCTTTTAGCATCTTTTATTACTTTCCTTTTTTCTTGTACCAGCAACTGCCAGCTAGAGAGAAAGAAAAGCATAATAGCAACTGAGTACTTGCTTGCAGCTTTAAATATGTGTGTCCAAAAATTTTAAGTGTATATATATATGCAAATCACAAACATAATTGAGCAGGAATGTTTACATTGTAAATACATCTATTTATTACTTAAGATATTGTGCTGCATTTCCTGTTACTTTAAGGTGCTCCAACAGAAAGCTGAAAAACACTGAAAATACCTGATTCTTGGCAAATAATGTTTTACGAAATATTTAGTTTGCTACTAGTTGCCTTTGGAATTTCAGATTGGTCCTTTTCTTTAGAATACATGAAATACCAAGTTAAATTCAACTGCAAAACATTAAAAAATATTTTTCCTGCTATGAGCTACAGTTAATGTAATGCCGCTCCGCAATCATAAACTTTTAATCTACTAAGTTAATTACAATATTATCACTTAAAAGTTCCTTTCTTCTTTTCTTGTCCCTCCCCCTTACTTTGTAGAGAGATAAAGCAATTCTATAATCAGAGCAAGTATCAGTGTACAGAACACTGCTGTGACTTAACAGTGGGAAAAGAAAATTAAATTGTTCCTTGAAGAACGTAATGTATATAAAAGACAAATGATTAAGTTCAGAGACTCTAGCACATGCACCTCATAAAATTTTTATCAATTTTTGGAACTTCCTTAACTTCCTCAAACTTAAAAAGTAATGGATATGCATGAACAAATAACTGGAAAAGGACTTAAACTGACAGTTTCAGCCAGAGTTGATATTTCTTCACTAACATAATTACTGCAGAAGGAATAAGTAACATAATATCCATTACAGGGACTTGAATAAGCAGGTCTGCTTTTGTACCAAAGTCGTAACTGCTGAGGAAATAAACTTCACAGAATTTAGGAGTTCTACCCATTAAAGGTAGTGGAAGAGACTGTGTGAGAGAGCAGCAGCAGAGTTAAGACATTTCAAAGCAGGACTGAGAGCAGCAAAGAGATCTGTCCCCGTTTCAACATGGCAAACCCATCCTAAGGGTTGGTATTTACACATTACCAACAGGCTGAATCTGAAAGCACTGATCTGACTACACTGTACATACCTGGAGTAAGATTTTCTGTAATGGACTCTTCTGATGAAATGTTGTTTTGCCTGTTTGTTTCAAGATAAGAAGGCAGACTGCTTCTTTGCACATTCAGACCAGCGTTTCCCACTTCTAGAAATGTAAGCATGTCTGGACTTTCTGTTGAAAATTTTGAAGTCTAGTGGCATTAAAAAAAAAAAAAAATTTTCTCAGAAATGTGAAGAATAAAAAGCTGAAGGTAGTATTTGATTTTTGGATCACATTTCTGCTACAACCAGCAAAACCACTTCCAAGCTCTATGTATATCAAAAAATACTCCTGTGTTTCTTCTAGATAAAACACAGCGTGGGGATTATACATTTAAATCTTACAAAAACCTTATGCTAAAGTATTTCCTCCACCAGTTTTTGTGTAGTACCTCGCTAAATTCTCTGCTGTCTTGTGAAATTCCATATTGAGAACACGATGATGATGTATCAAAGTCAACAGTTGGTTCCAGAGGCTGAAAGAGATGGTGATGGAAGTTTGGAAAAGGTTTCTCTCTTTCTGGAAAACAAAGCTCAGCTGCTAGAGCTGTAAGAAAAAAGGTTATTTTAAAAACAAATACACATCACCCACACCCCCAAAACAACCCCCCTCAAAAAAAAGAAAAAACCCCCAAACAACAGTTGTATCTTTATGCAGTAAATAAAGCATATTCTGCAGGTATACAAATAGTAGCTTGTAAAACCAAAACCTTTACAGCATTCAATTCTTCCACTCTGACACAATGCAAGTATAAAAAGCAGTAAGAAAGTGATACACTGATTAATTTATTTTTTTTTAATGAAAAGATTAGGTCCTTAAGTTCTCTGTTCAGCACTTGTGAGACTGCATCAGAAGTAGTGTGGGCTTTTCAGTACAAAAATCAGTGACACAGCAGAGCAAGACCAATGAAGAGCCACAAGGATGATCAAAGGGTGGATGTACCACATGATGTTCAAAGAAAAGCTGAATAACTGAGTTTATTCAATCTAAAGAGAAGAATTGGGGGAAATGGTACAAAAATATTTGCTGCCTACTACCTCCTAAGAGACAGTACAGAGAATCCTAGAATCGTTTGGGCTGTATCACCTAGTTCCAGTTCCCCTGCCATGGGCAAGGACACCTTCCACTACACAGGTTGCTCAGGGTCCCATCCAACCTGGCCCTGAACACTTCCAGGGATGGGGCATCCACAACTTCTCTGGGCAACCAGCTCCAGTGCCTCATCACCCTCAGAGTGATGAATTTTGTCCTAATATCTAACTAAACTTAATCTCCTTGAGTTTAAGGAAAATGCAGTCAGTGTGTTTGAACATGTTCAATGAAAGAAAAAGAGACAGACACAGGAAATTTTGGTTGGATACAACAAAAAAATTTAAAAAAAAGAGGAAAAGAACAGTTATTAAAATGTTGCCCAGGGGGGTGTAGAATCTCTGTCCTTGGCAATATTCAGAACTTGCTTGGACAAGGCCTTAAGCAACCTAAGCTGGCTCTGCTATGAGCAGGAAGGAGAAGTTGGGCCACATAAACATAAGTCCTTCTGGTCTACATTAATCTATAATTCTATGATTCCAGGTTTTCAAACATTCCAGGAGGAAGCAATTTGAATTAAAACACTAACATTATCGTCATGATAGCTAACAATGATGTTCTTAATTTTGTTACATTTTTCTAGAGAGCACAGAACCCCCACCAATCTGTTAATCAGTGAGCGTTTCATCAACTGTGTGACCCCATGTGAATAATGAAGTATTATATATTATTTTTCTATCTTCCTGAAGTAAAAGTTGTGCATAAACAAGTAATAAAAATGGCACAGGTAGCAAAAAGCCAAGCCATGGTAGCAGGGGGCTGCACAGAACTGAGAGAGACCTGATCAGACTATCTTGCTTTCCTGCACCAGATGATGCTTCATTAACATATATCTAACAAAGGATGAAGAACATCACAGTATTAAATTCTTGCACACAGAATCCTTATTAACTTTAAAATGTAAGCCGGACATAAATAACAGAGACCAACATGTAACATCGAGTTAACTCCTCATTCTGTACGATGAGAACACAGCACATAAATGCTATAAAATAGCAAATACCTTGGAAACATGTATTGTCCTCTGAGTTCAAGTTCCCAGTATGTTTCCCCAGGACCTGCTGTGTCTGACGTTCTTTATAAAGGTGCATGTCTTCTTCAGACAGCAGAGTTTCAGATACTCCAGCCAAATTCTCTTGCCTCTGTTGCAAGGTAAAAGACAGCGAGGAGCTCAAAGGACGGCTTGTTGTTTCTCTCAAAATTCCACCTTCTGTACCATCAGAAGACAATCCTGAAATAATAAGTTAGATGTTCACAATTTTGCATATAAATCACTTACATGACATCATCTGAAAAGACACTGCTTAATATCCTGAAATATTCATAAAGAATTCTAGGGTTTTGGTTTTTTAATTGTCTCCTGTCAATGCTCCTATAAATCTTACCACGCACTTTCACAAATACAAGTTGATCTAATTAGGTAGCAGCCAGTACAGCTTAGTGCTTTTACAGAATGTAGACTTAGGAAATACTGAAATTATAAAATCAGAAAAGAATTAATACTGTTATTTTATGCTAGCTAGCATAAAATAACCTGCTACTGCATATAAACATGTCAATCCTTCAATGTGATCTTGAATATCTTTATGACACCATGCAAGAGTTTTATTCATGATTAAAGAGAAATTGCTTAATACCAACACAAGAAATCTGAGGGATCAAGGTAACCAAAATCATGTTCCTAGTTACCGCATCAACCCTTCTTTGTTGCACAAAGCTATTAGAAAAGGTCATCACTAAGCACCACTGAGTGTACGGTGAAGACACAGCCAGACTTGAAAAATTTATTCACGCAGCCAAATACCCAAAACTTCTGGTATTTTTCTTCCACAACTAAGAAACAATAGACAAGAAAAGCTACAAGAAAATGATCTTAGAATTTGCTTTCTTACATCAATGAAACACAGATTTGTCAAGTGACTTATGAAGTTTATGTAATATCATTAGGGTTAAAATAAGACACTGAAATCTCAGGCTGTAAAAACTGTAGTCTTCAAATCTGATTTATAAACATAGAATAACTCATATACACACAGGTTGCGTAAGAAATCAGATGTCAGACTTACACAATATTAAGCCTTAAAGTAAATAAATCTACAGGTCACTATCTAATCACTTTCAAGCTCACTTCCATGTCCACAAGTAATAATGTCAGGAGCAACTATATATTTATTATAAAGGAATTATTTTTGATCTTACAACAAGCTAACAAGATCAAGAGGCAGACTGCAAAAAAAAAAAAAAAGGGATAAGATCATGTATTTTTCAGAAAACTATTAAAGGTCAATATGGCATTCAAATGACATTTTCACAAATAAGTGATTAAGAATTACTATAGTGACAAGCAGATACTGGAACAATTCTCTTAACAGCAAGACAGAAGTCATAGCTCTGTAAGAATCCATGATATGTATTGATTAGTAAACTTCTATCAGTGTATCATTTGAAGATCATTTTAAAATAAAAATTGCCACTAGAAAACTGTTAGCATTACAGTTGCTTAATAAAACTCAAAATATCCTTTGCTAAAGCAGATGTATTATCATATTAAATTATAATAAAAGTAAAAAATCATAAGCACTTAACAAAACATTCTGGTTATGCTCAACTCTGTAGGATGCATTAATAAACCTTAAATGAAGTTTGACACTAGCCTATTTCAGAAGAACTTGCAGTGAGTTAGACCCATTCTGCCATAAAACAAATAGAAAACACAATTTTCCTTTTACAAGAACAACAACAAACCCCAAACACTTACCAGGGCCAACAGGGCTTGCATCCAACGTTTCACTAGTTGAAAAGCTCCCAGTGGAAATTGTTGAAGTTAAATCACAGGGTATTCCTTGCATGAAAGCCTCTGAAACTAGTACTTCCTAGGATGACATAACACACCTATTATGAAGTACTCAAATGTCCGGAATTAAAGCTTTAAACCCACACATTTTATTCTGAGCTCAGTTCAAGTGTAGAAGCCTTCATGTTTTGCACAGTCAGGCAAATAAAGATTCATCCTTGCTCAGTACAACACATTCACACCCCATGTCCCAGACACATCACTCCCAACAGCCCCCTCCCCTCAACACACACCCACCCACACCCACACACACACAGTTAAAAAGCCTCTCAGGACGGCATACAAATCATGACACCTGGAAGATTGTTTTATCTTCGGGTGATCAGATTTGGCTATTTCTCATCACAGACCCACTTTAGTAGAATTGTAGATCTCAGAGGAACATATAAGCAAAACATCAAAAACTCAGGAATTTTACAGGTACCTGCAACACTGAGTCTTTTGCATACAAGTTACTGACTTAAAATTTAATTCTATGAAATTACACCAAAAATATACAAAATACCCTAAAACATCATCTTCCTTAATTTTAAGGTAAGCTCTACAAACTCACAAAGCAGAGAACGAGAGTTTTTGCATTTAAAAATTTTGAAGAATTAGATATAAAGTTTTCTGAAATTCTGACTTCAAATGTGCACTAAAAAAATAAAAAAATCTAAGAAACCCTTTTCCTCCATTTTTCATTATATACTACCTTATACAAAATATATTACATTTAAAACATCTACATTTTAACGTACTTCTATATACACATGTAACACATAACATTTTTTAAATACTGCTTTTATTTCCTGACAAAATGACAGGATCTTTGGGTGAGGAAATAGAAGGAGATTGGTGTTGATTTTGGCAAGGCTTTTAACACTCACAATATTCTTTGTTCCCAGTTTGGATGTGGCAACCTGAATGGATAGACAATAACAACTGGATGGATAATCAGGCTCGGAGGTCAGCGATTAAAGGGTTACACTCTACGTGGAGGTGGGGAACAAGTGGAGTACATAAGGCTCTGTCCTAGGACCTGTCCCCTGTAACACCCTTGGCAGTGACCCAGAGGAGATGACACGATACTTTAATCAGGTCTCCAGATACGCTAAGGTGGGAGGACCAAGTCATACACTGAACAGCAGGGTTGGCATCTAGAACCACCTTGTGAGGTTGGACCTACAGGAATAGTGTGAAACTCAGCAAGGGCAAATGCAAAGTCCAGCACCTGGAAGGAAGAAGCTCATGCACCAGTCCCAGCTGGGGTCTATCTAAGGAGCAGCCTTGTGAAAAAGGGCCCAGGAGCCTCATCAGACAGCAAGCTGAGCGTAAGCCCACGGTGCGCCGACAGCAGAGGGGCAACAGACAGCATCTTGTGCTGTATGAGCAGGAACAGAGCCAGCAGATCCATCCCAGTAGTTACCCTTCTTTACTTGGTGTTTGTTATGCTGCTGCACCTAGAACACTGCACCTAATCTTATCCCCCCCCAATATGAGAAAGAAAGATTACAACACAAAATAAAGAGTGGGTTATGTTATATGATTACATTGATATGACCAACCGTATTATCAAGTGTGAATGATGGTCCAGAATATGTTTTAACTCCCTCTCCAACTTCAGCAGCAAGCACTGGTGAATCTTGAGACACTTGAGAATCCTGGGACTGGGCTGAACACAAACGTAACAAAAGCAACAAGGAACAAGAAGAGCTTTTGAGTTCATAGTGAGCAATGTTTTGTGGCACACCAGAGGGCAGTAACACTCCACTGCTGCTTGTCTCACCCTTTGGGCCATCATTAACCACTTTCTTCTCACCTACAACACATTTTTTGCTCCACTGTACCACCAATTTGAGCAGAAATCTGTAGTTCTCCTTGACGAGCCTTCCTAAAATTTCTAACTACTTGGACTGCTCTCTGAAGAGCAGGCAAGAAGAGCTCAAAATTTATGCTCTGGCTTTGCAGAATGAAACGTGGCTTTGCTACTGTTACTGCAATCATTTCATTAAGGTGGGGGGAATCTTTTACAATATACTATTTCAGTGATTACAAAGAAAAGCAGACATTCCAAGTAGATCAGTGAAATCAGAAATACTGAATTACTGAAGTACAGCATGACTATTAACAACGGAACTGAATCACCTTTGCCATAATACTCTTACACATAAAAATAAATAATATGAGTATCTGTGCAAAAAAAGCACCACAGCAGCACCCAAAAAATGCAATTTCTGCATTCAGTGCTGACAAGCACCTTTAAAGTCTGATAACTCTATGACTGTAGATGAATTGTCACAAACAACTCTAAAATATGTACTCTTATTTCCAGAAAGAATTTTCAAGAAAGAAGTGCTAAGTGTGAAACTGAAATGAAACTGAAGTGTTTTCTCCCAACTCTAAGAGGGCTGTTAGCGACAGAGACATGAAGATAATCACATCTGGAACACCACTCACAGGAACCATTAAGGATGAATAATGAGAGACCAACATATTGATATGTAATGAAGGAGAACTGTGAAAGAGATGTATGTATCAAATCTAGTCACTAGTTTCAGGCTCACTTACTAAGGAAATTAGGCTTATGCCATCAAACTGTCCATTTCATCTGCTGGGTTACTCTGTAATTCCCAATTACAATTTGGATTCTATCAGCCAGTTCTAACCAAACTGGATTGGAAAGAATATCAAATGTCCAAAGTTCCCAAAACTCATTTTATCATGCATTAGGGGCATAGTACAAGAGAGCAGTTTGGATCTTAGTCTCACTGGTGTCACTTAGGACAACATCACTTTAGCAGTTACCTGCCCTCTCTGGCTGCAACCAGCTGATTATTTTGTGGAGCACTTGTAACCACTCAGTACTGAGCACAGGGATTCATCCTTCCCTAACCACAGAAGTACAGAATCACAGAATGCTAAGGGGCTGGAAGGGACCTTGAAGAGCATCTAGTTTCAAATCCCCCTGCCATGAGCAGGGACACCTCCCACCAGACCAGGCTGCTCAAAGCCCCATCCAACCTGGTCTTGAACACTTCCAGGGATGGGGCATCCACAACTCTTCCGGAAAACCTGTTCTAATGTCTCACCATCCTCACAGTAAAGTCCTTAAGACATTTTACAATTCAAACATATCTGCATCTAAATTTTGGAGGGTTGAAGTTATCTTTCTTCCTGGAAGACAGAAATAGAGCTAATTATAAAAGTTTCTTTAAAAAATGCCTGTTACTCAAGGACAATCTCATATCAAAGAAAAGTCACCTGTGCTGATAAAGCATCCAAAAAGATTTACCAAGTTTACCTTTTTATTTTCAGTGTTTGTTTTGAAAAAACATGTGAGCAGTGATAGGATTTGTGCACATCTATTGGTTCTGTAACCATGAAAGCAGTGCAACTTCTAAGTTGTAGAGCCTTACATTATGTGGTCAAAGGTAGAAACCACCAAGAATGCAACTTCAAAGAATAAGGTCAAAGATCACACACACAAAGCACTCATTTGCTCTCACTTTTAGAGACACAATTACACCTTGAAAACATGGGAAAACTGCAAACACGTCCTGGTTAGAATCAAGTAGCAAAAAAATGTTCAAAAAAACAAATAAAAAATAATCAAAGTTACTATCATAAACAACAACCTAAAATGCACCTTAAATTCTTCCTTCAGAAACTTTATATTTAAAGCACAAGGGACTGTAGATTTTCTTGCTGAAATACCACAACAGTTATTGAAAGTATCACAGGGAGCCTCACAGCCTACAATTATAAAGATATTACTGGCAGTTTGGTTGTTGAACTGCTCAAGAGAACAATCCTCTTACACAAAATCACAGAAAGCTTTGGGGTTTTTCTCTTTAAATACAGACGTTCAAATAAAGTTTCCTAATCCTCTTACATAAACTATTGCACTGGTCATATAATACTCTCAATGTAAAAAGACACTACACCAAGATATTTTATATTAATTCAAAAACAGCGGCTCTAGCAATGCTTCTACAACTTACTCAGAAAAATACAAGCCTTTTCTTCAAATATTGTTAAAGGACAAAATTCTTCAGTAATAATTTAAGTTTAAATATAGATATACTTCAAAAGGACTATTCTGAGAAACAAAAAAAGCAGCTGAAAGAAAATGAGCTTCGATGGAATTGGAAATGATGTCTCAACACAAACTAAATGAACAGCTAAAGATTAGAGGCAGTGGTGAAATTTCTAGCAAAACCAGATATGTACTACACAGCTGTACTGCTTGTAACGCTGTGCATATAAATGCTGCCAAGTTTCTGAAAACTCCTCTGCAGCTCTAGTAATGTATTAATTCATTTTAAATGGATACTGAAAACTGTCCTGGACCATGCAACACTGTCACCTTGTACTCAGTTTCAAATTCCTTTAGTCAGGGTTTTACAAATTTTGTCTAACAGTTCCCAGCAAGTCAGGTATAGTATTTTTCAATTAAACAAACTGCATTTCAATATGCAGTAAACTTGAAGAGAAGCAAGTTGCATTTGAAGAAGCATTGCAATCGAAAGTACTGGAGCCTTTGAGTTAAAAGACTGGAGAGACAAACTAGATTTGTATAGACAGGGAAAAAACAGTAGGAAATAAAAACCTTGACATCTACTTGTTAGTCCAATCTCTTGACAAACTTAGTAGCCTGTTTTCTTTGTTTCCCTAAGACTAGCCATCTTTGTCCCTTTATAAAGCCAATCAAGTTACCCATAACATGTTTAGTAGGTTTAAACATCCCCGTAACAAAATTATTTTGAACATTCCCAAACCACTTTAACAAAAGTTTTCTTGATAACTGAACAAACTGTTTTATTTCATGGAATCAGACTTTGTCACAGCTGGACACAGCCTATCCTCAAAGGTGTGATGTCCAATAAGAGCTCTTAATGAACAAATGGACAAGAACAGAGTTGAAGTAATCCTTACATTATTGCAGTATTTTTCCTTTTGACATACTCAGTGGAACATGTAAAAAGTGTATAGTGACTACTAGAAAAGCCAAGGCAGAATTAATTTGTCTGGAATTCAGGCAGATCAGACCCTTGAAAATTCCAAGTGTCTGGCTCAACTCCAGCACTGTGCTACTTTCACAAGCTGACAGTCAACACTAATGCATTGTAAGTTGGTAGACAGAACTTCCTAATAAAACAAGAATTGCATATATAAAATAATTACCTCTCACTAAGCAGGGCGATAGGACACGAGGAAATGGAATGAAGCTGCATCAGGGCATTCAGACTGGACATTAGGAAAAGGTTTTTCATTCAGAGGGTAGCCAGTCACTAGCACAGGTTCCCCAGGGAACTGATCCCAGCACTAAGCCCAACAGAGTTCAAGGAGCAGTGGGACAATACTCTTAATCACATGGTTTAGTTTTAGGTAATCCTGTGAGGAGCAGGGAATTGGACTCGATGATCCTTATGGGTCCCTCTCAACTTGAGATATTCTACAATTCTCAATTTTCATGTCTGTCACACCTAATAGATTATTCTTTCAAAGTTGTTTTTTGAGCTTGATGACGACCTCAGTCTTCTATTTTTTGTCTCAACTGTATTTTTAAGTAATTTCTTATATGCACTAATCTTTCAGTGGACATCTACATCATCACGTTAGCACTCCAGAGTTCTTTTTAAGCTTTAATTTCCTTTTTGTCAATACAGGGAATCACTGGGTACTGAATCAGAAACACCAGTGGTCTGTGTGGTCTGCTCCCACCTGCTAACCTTTACAGACAATTCTACAAGTTGAAGATAAAAAGCACATGCCTTGGATAAGAAACTGTTGACTAGCAATGAACAGTACTGCAGTGTAGACTTGTTACTAGAATGGTAAAAAGTAAATAGTAAAAAAAGATAAAAAACTCATTCACTCTGAGACGTGCTTATTGAAACATCCTTTTTTACACTTAAAATTCAACAGCATTTAAATAGCACTGCATGTCCTTCAAGTCAGGTCATATTCTACAAATAAACAGCAATAAAATCAGCACTGCTGAAAGGAATTCATGTAATCCCTTGAAGGAAGAGGATTTCCTCACCTGAATCATATGAAGTTTCAGCTGCCATCATCAGCAACTCTTGTAATAATCTCCCTGATGGTTTAGTTTGCCTTGGACTTCCATTAGAGGTTTGTTCCTCATAGTTTGTTATGCTCAAGGGTAACCTGCCCTCGCAAAAAGTGGGACTGTAGCACTTCACATAAGCAAATTCCCCAATGGTTGAAACAGGGGAAGGTTCTCCACCAGCATAATCTGCTTTATCTGGATTTAAAATATTTGTAATCAGTTTAGGTATAGAAAGGAAGTGTTTTGCACTTAATGAGGAACATTAAGATGCACATTCTACGCTACAGAAACAACCAGCTGAATTTGTACGGTCTCCATTTTAACTAAATTAGCCCCAGCAGGTCAGTAAACACTTTTGCATCACAGTCTAAGAATTATACAGGCTGAAAGATTATACAGGTCATACACTTATCAAAAAATAATTTCTAGCTCTTCCAAATTATTTCTTCCAAAAAAATTCAAACAAATTTTTCCACACAGCAAATCCACCAAAACTTTCAGTAATTTCTCCAAATCTAGAGGTATTAGAACTTCTCTGCTCTGGTTTAAAGATTTCTTTTCTCCCCAGCCCGGACCACACAACAGCCCTTTTCTGGCCACCCAATCCAATAAAAATCCCATCTTTTTACTACCTATCATAACTAATGGTTGGATAATATAGGAATTTACCACCTGTGGATTGTGATAATGGGATTATACTGCTAAGTGTAAGTTACTAAACCAAGAGCTTTTAAGAAAATAAATATATTCTTCAATCAAAACCTTCACCAACAAAACTTGCTGTCTAATCAAGATACCAAATTGGTCCAACAAGAAATAAATGTTTACATTTAGAAAACATCAGTTTGTTAATTAATGTTCCTTATGAAGAATTACAAAGACTGCATACAGACTGTAACAAATATATTTATAAAATGATAATTGCTTGTGTAGTTGCTCTCCAAATTTTTTATAGTGTTTTGTAATAAAAAAAACCCCAAACACACGCACACACAAAAAACCCCCAAAAACAACCAACCGACTAACCAAAAAAAACCCCAAAACAACAATAACAACAACAACAACAAAACAAAAAAAACCAAACCAAAACAAAAAAAAAAACCCAAAAAACAAAAAAGATGGTCTAAAAATTTCTGTAGAAACTTGATACTAAACTCCTTATTTGAAAAACTTCACAGTCACTTTCCTGGTATGCTCAAAAGCCAAACCTTTAAACATTATCCACCAACTTCAGCTATTATTTCATAATCAATCATCTCACAGATTCTTCAGGAAAGATTAAATTCCTCCAATCTACTTCTTGTAGATTATTACATATTTTATATATTACCTGCAAAAGAAAGGTTGCAACTCTTTGGTGTGTCTATCTCTGGTATAATACTAAGTTCATGTTGTTCCAAACCAAGCCCTAACTTGACTCTTGTCACAGGTGGTTTGGAAGATCTCCATTTCTGTTCTCTACAGAGAATTTTCTCAGATTTTTCTGTAAAACAAAGTTTTGTATGTTGCAATTAGATAGATAGATAGATAGGATAGATAGATATAAAATTAACTTGGGCAAATTGAAGAAAACTCCATCTGAGCTGTAAAGCAATAAAAATTGTAACAGGATATAACATACAGCCTTACCGGTTTGCTCAACTGGACCAATGCACTGCGAAATCATTTCACTTCCATGAAATTTACTCCTGCTGCAGTTTTCTTGCTGGTAGTTTTCTGAGACTTTGAAAAAGTCAGTTCTATTAATCCAGTCAGGTTTTTGTGCCTCTGTGATTTCTTCATTTGAGCATATATGTCTCACCTTAGAAGGGCAGGAGGCAAATGTATGTAAGATTATATTTATATTCATTTATCAAACAAGAACTTTCTTGTGTGTGTATTCCATGCAGAATAAAATTGAACATGTTGAGAAAGTAGTTCAAGTATGCAAGATACCAGACAGATTTGCTTAGCTCACAGAAACATTTGAATGTATAGGTATTTTACTTAGCTCTACAAACCTAATGTGCTAAAGCACAATTATTTACATTTTCAAGACCTTTGTTAGGTTAGATCAGAATACTCAGCATTTTTAATAGGAACAATTTCTGAAAAGTCTGCTTTTAGTTTTTCAGCTCCTAAATTCATGAATTTTAGCTGCTAGGAGACTGAAAAATCAAAAGACAGGAAGTACAGGGAACAATTATTTTCCTAAAATACCTTCTGCTTAAAAAAAAACAACACAGGGGGAGGCAAAAGGAGGCTTTCTAGAAGCTCAAAAATAAACTTCGATTTTTCTTCAGTTACTGAGAAAAAGCAAAGTCAAGACTGCAGCTGCCAAACCAATTTCCTAGCGAGTACACACAAAGACAAGCTTTAAAAATAATTTATTCAAGATGCTTATGATATCCTTTCAGGTATTGCTTAAGTATTTTTAATACAAGAGCTGCTTTTCACACAGAGCTGCATTTATAGAGATGAAGACTGTACCTGCAGATATTTCGGACAATCTAACAATTTCAACAGGCGTTATGTTCAGAGACCAAGCACAGGCATTCATAGTATTTGTCAGACTGAACAAAACTGTGCTCTTGGGGCTTACAGAGAAGAACTACTGATTACAAATCACAAGTCCTAATTAAAATTTTGATTATGGTAAATCACCTAAAACTATCAAGACTCCATGGGATACTTTGCTAATTGCTAGCATTCACGCCTAAGCTTGATCACCTACTGGATGATTCCCCATGCAAAGCATTTATAAAGTTTACCTGCTTGTTCAAAAATTCTTTCAAAGCCTCTTGCTGTCTCTGCATCTGTTCCTTCAATTTATCTTGCTTCTGTAAAAGTACTTGTTCTTGCATTTTCTGTCTGGAAAGAAGAGCTTCTCTTTGTGCATCTAGCTTCTCTTGCAAGTCTTTCAAATACTTTTGCTGAGCTTGGATGCTTTCTGATGAGGCCAACACTCTGTCCCTTAAATTCAGTATACTAGAGTAATTTAACAAAGATGCATCTCCCGATTTTGATATCAAGAATTCCTCAACACTCTGGGCTTTAGATTCTTCATGCGCTAAAGTCATGGGCTGAGAAAGACTGAAGGGTTTTTCAGGGCTTGTTTTGCTGGTGCTCTCTACAGATCCCTGCTGATAGGCCAAAGAATCAACTGAGGCTGTCTGAACTATACAAGACCCCTTTGTTGCTGGTATGAGGGGTATCTTAAGTGGAGGCTCTTCTCCAGCTTCTATCTCTGTTTGATGATAAGGTATCTTCTGAGAAGACTCTTTTAAGTGTACTGTTTCTGGAGACTCCAAGGAACCTTCTGCAGGCAACAAAAATCTAACGTGTTGTTGTCGGTGTGCTTCTAGTTGTGTTCTGATTGCACTGACATCTTTTGTGACTGACCCTGGAGGCAACTGGAACTGAGATGGTTCTGTGATGTGATTACTGGAGGTTTTGAACATTCCCACTTGTTCCTGTGAAGGACAGTAACACGGCAAGTGAAACTCTCTGTGCTTCAATTTTGATGCTTCTGGAAACTGCACAGGTTTGCCAGGACAAATATTATGTGTTTGCTCTTCTTGTTTCCGTGAAGATGGTTTTTCCAACACATGCAATGTTCCTGAAAGTGCTGGTAATGACCGCGCATATTCTTGGGCATTAACTTGTTCCAATGCCTGGTACTGTGTTGGCGGCACTCTTTGCCTCTGTAGGAGTGGTTCTGAGACAGGCTTTAAATTAATTGATTTTGTTTCCATTGAGCTTGAAGGTGTTGCAGAAGGAGACAAGTATCTGTGCTTCAGTGTATTCTGATACTCCTGTAGCTGCTTTCTAGCTGCTTCAATAGTCTGTTTGTGCAGCCTCAATAGAAAGACAACATGAATCTTTTCAGAGTGATGTAAAAAGAAACATCAATTTCAATAATTAAAGAAATTCAAATTACTTTGAAACAGGCTTACATTTCATAATGGCATTTATTTACCTATTTTGCTGTAGGAGACGTTGTTGAAAGTCACGAACCATCTGTAAACGGCTGTCTTCTCTAGGACTCCTAATTTCTGATACAGTAGTATTTCCAGTCTAATCAAAATAAAGTAATTATAATTTTAATTTAATTTTGCACATACACAACTAACTCACAGAAGTCTATTACAGGAACAACCTTAAGCTGTATGTTCTTTCTCCTAAGTTTACAGAAGCCACTCTGTATCACCACTTGAAATCAGTGAGATTTCAGCCTGAGGCAATGAAACTAAAGGAGTTCCTGGAACAGATGGCTTACAGCTACAGTCTCTCTTGGCAAGTCGAGCATACACCATCAAAGCCAATGGTGCTCGCAGCAACTTAGCTCAGAGATAAATGTATCCAGCAAACTCAGGGAGCAACAATCCAATAGAGCTGCACTGCCAAGACAATCAGGTTCTCAGAGGAGAACAGGTTGTGCAAATGATTCAAGCTTTTCTATTAAAAAAATCACCTTCCTTCAACATCCTCCATAAATTCCTCTCCTATAAGTATCTGCTTGAGATTTAGATAGACAAAAACATACAGATAGATTTTTTTAGTCCTTTTCTTTCATTACTATTTCTTTTTTCCTTCTTGAAAAAGATTATGACTACATGCATAATTATTATGTGACTCTATTTATATTGTACTAATAGGTATTTTAAACACATAGGCTGCCCCTGGGACTATGCATAGGTAATACAGTAGTCAAAGTCACAGAATCATAGAATATCCTGAGTGCAAGGGACCCACAAGGTCAGCAAAGTTCAACTTGTGGCTCTGCACAGGATAGATAGCCCCAAGAGTCACACCATGCGCCTGAGAGCATTGTCCAAACGCTTCTTAACTCTGTCAGACTTGATGCTTTGAGCACTTCCCTGGGGAGCCTGTTCCAGTGCCCAACCACCCTCTGGGTGAAGACCATTTTTCATACTATATAACCTAAACCTCCCCTGACACAGATTCATGCCACTCCCTCAGATCCAGTGATACCATGTGAAATACAAGCCTCTAGGTTAGAAAAAGAAGCTTCAATATGTACAAATTTCTGTTACAGCCTAAGAAATAAAAACTCTCTTAGTTGATATAATTTAAAATTGGCAAATAGCATTCTTGATTTTTATTATAATAATAATTAAAAACCTACAAACAATTTTCTACAACTCTTTACCTTATGCTCCACTTGGTTTTGCTGATCTGTAGAAGGAAGACTGTGGCTTTGTACCAGCTGACCTTGCTCTTCCTCTTCTTTTTTTTTCCTAGCCTCCTCCAAGCAGGATTGCATTTGGATCTTCAGAAAATCAGCCTCCAGGCGTGCTTTCTCTTCTTCGATTTGTTTAAGCAAGGCCAGCTGCTCCTGTTTCTGTTGCTCTATTTTCTCATGCTATTGAAAAGAAAAACGAGGGTGAATCTCTAGAACAGAATGACAAAGAAATCAGACCCCTCATACACATCATCACGCACAACTTTATTCCAAATTACAACAGAAATCCTATTGCTTGTGAAAGGCATTTCCAAATTGCAAGAGGCCTTTAAAAGTAGTTCCGAAGTTTACAAGAATGATTTTATTTTACTGGCTCAATATTTTTAACAGTCCCTGAATCCTCAAATTAACAGAATGGATAAAATCAGGATCTAACCATTCAAGAAACATTATGATTTTCCAGAGACTACAAAAGAAGTCCTTTTCTTAAATTGACTTCAGAAATCTATTTTGCATTGTACAGAGCTTTTCATCACATTTAAGTGTGTTAATTCAAGCCTTACAAGACTTCTGAAATAGCTTTGAGAGCACTCATAAACCTCTGAAGTAGTTTGTTTATTTTGAATATTGTTTATTCTCGTTCCATGTACCTATCAGCTACAATTCACTTAGATCCACGCAGAGCAACAGTATATATGCTTTTAGAGTGGAAGCAAAGAAAAATTTCAAAGCACTGGCAAAGATGAAACGGACAACAGCCTTTAATGAGCCAGTTTGAACAGGGACATCAGGAAGAGGAATGTGGGAAAAAGCTGGACCTGAGAACAGTTAATGTGGACACACTAAGACACCTGATCAGGTGTAAAGGGGGAGCAAATGAATGTTAAAGAAAGTAGCCACAGTTTCATAGAGGATTTGCGGTTGTGTTTTTTTTCCAAAATATTACTATTTTGTCAAATTTTCATTTCCTTTACTTCTGAACTTAAAACTCTACAATTTAACTCTGCACTAAGACCTAAATTTCAACTTTTAATTGATAAACTACCATATAGTGGCTGGTAGGTCTCTAGGGGTACAACAAAAATGAAAATATGATACATATAATGAAATAGTACCCGAAGTTATTATTTTCTAAATATAATAAATGTATCGTTTCCAGAGACACAAAAAGCTTTCTGCGTTTGTCTCCTAGTTAATTTTTAAAAAAATGACTCAAGGTTTGTATGTTTTTCCTGCTAGTATAAACACAATCCCTTAGACTTTCCTCCAGTATTACACAGAGTTAGTAAAGTTTTCAGTTGTGTATTGTTGACTATATCCTCCCTTTATAAAGCAAAGGTATTAATGTACAATTGGGATTCTCATTTAAGCACAAGGTTACATATCTTGCCTATAGGACTTGCTAGATTTTAAGAAACTGGGGTTTTCCACTCTATTCTAAATTCCAGCTACAGCTTCATAATTTTTAAAAAGTATAGCAAAAGTTACAGTAAAATTTTAACTGTTAAAAGCACCTATCACTGCTGTATAACCTGAAGCATTTGAAAGTCTTCTGTAAATCATGTTTTTTACACTGTAGCTGAGATAGTAATAGGTACAGACACACTTACCCACTTCTGTCTCTCCTCTTCCATCCTAATTTTAGCTGCCTCTTCCATTCTGATTTTAGCTGCTTGTTCTTGAGGATGGGTTAGAACCGAATTTTCATCTGCAACTATATTTTCCAACGTAGAGTCTAAAATACACGTTATTTAACTGTAATGGCAGTCAGAAAGAGCCTTGGATCTTCTTTACATTTTGCTTCACAGTTACCCAATATCTCTAAACAAAATGCTTAAGCTGCTCTTAAAAATATCTCCATCCCACTACTCTGCCTGTCTCCATAAGTTAGAAAATCAAGTTTTTATATTATTTAAGTCTTTAATGGCCCTTTATCACGTGTCTTTCTTGAATATACAGTAATGGCCCATCTACAGTGGGACTGAAGATGACTTCTAACAGATTACTTGGGAGCCCAGGTAGCAAGATCATCCTCAAGAATCAAAAGCCACACATTAACCTCTTAGAACAGAGAGGGTCTAAAACTGGCATTCTCAGGGCAAATTATCTAACATTTGGCTATCGCACAAAAAGCAAGTCTTAATCCTGTATTATTCACTTCAAATAGCAGCACACTTTCCCCCAAGGCATGTTTTCACTCATGCTGGACCCTCCAACCCCCAGGTGTTATGCTGGCATATCCACGTACATGATTGAACTAAATTTCTCTAGAGTGTTTTACAAAACAAGCACCCTACAAGAGCAAAAAGACAAAAAAAACTTGCCACAACTTGATCACTTCAGAAATCCCACATGGCATACAAGATCACCAACCTCTGCACTAGCCTAACCAGAAGAGCACAAAGGATAAAAATGGGAAGTAACTCCAAGATGATTTGGCTGCCAAACAAATTGGACTGTCTAATTACTATGAATTCCAATTTTACAAAAAGCCATTTCAGAATGGTGCCTAGAAGCAGAAAAAACCCACACACATCAGCTCATGCTTATCTTGTGCAGTTCTAGCTGTGACTCTCTCCAAAGAATCTGGCTTTTTTAGTTCAACAGGTATAGAACTTCAATGCCCCGTTTTGCACTTAGAATCCTATTCCTGGAGGCAAGCACCTATTAAAGCAGGGCAACACCAAGTGTGACAACAATTTGGGTGAGACTTAAAAGACAGAAAGGTATTTTGGACATTTGTTCTCCACAAGGTCTTAAAGTTGGCAAGTTGGACATAAGACCAAAAACCAAAACCTCTCCTATTTGTGGTTTCAACAAATCCACAATGCTTTGTGGGCACAGATAAGAAAACTGTACTTTCAGTCAACATGCCAAAACACTAACACTGAAAGTTCATTAAACAGTTTTGTCATAGTCCCCCCTTAAGTATGTACTACATACCTTTGGCTTTACATACTGTGTTTTTCTGCTGCTCACTGTCAAGTTCTAAATCACATAATGGTCTCTCTTCGCTAGCAATTGTGCCTGATTCAATAGTCTCAAATTCACTCTGACTCTCTTTCTCACATTTTGATGTCCACTCTTCTTTTTGGCTTCTAATCTTTTTCAGCAATTTCTTTAAAGCACGTTTTGACCAAGGTTGGCAAGTTTTTGCCTCTTCTTGATCTATAAAGAAAATATACTATTAAGAGTTTTAGGTCATGAATATTTTCATAAAAAAACAAACTTTTTTCTATTGCTTACACAGTGGGACAAATAGTTCACGTATATTTTTAAAAGCTTAACAATGTTTTCTCTTACCTGCAAGAGGGAAGCAGTAATTTGTCTTTGCAAGCTATAAAAAGAAAGGCTAAGCCAGTTGCAGTGTTTCACAGTCAGACTATTGCAGAAACAAGCAGTAGTATCTCCCCACCTGCCTTCATGTTCCTGCCTTCTCCTTTGTAGTAGCACTGGCAACACAATGCACCACAGACCATAAACCATAAACCAGACTGTGCCAACAAAGGGATATGGCAGAAACGCTTGGCCAAGCAGCAAAGTTCAGTAACACACTTCTTGTTCACATCACATTACTCTGCACATGCCACAAGCAAACAGTACACACACATGCATCTCTTGCAGCCTACTCACAATATGGAGCAACTCAATCACAAACCTGAACATAAAGGACACACAATAAGTAGACTTTCATACAAAGTCAAGCTTAAACTCTGAAATATTTCAAAACACAAAATGGAAAATAGTTATTTAAATTCATACACCAGGATCATTCCATAATTTATACTAACTATATCAGAATAATTATGGCTACTAACAGTGTAGTTCTTAAAACAATTAAAAATTACTGTTAGTATACTAACAAATTGACACATATTAGAAAAAGAAGTCACATTTTCATTTTTAAATTCATAATCATTAGGGTATTATCATCCATGATAAACATCATAAACCACTGAAGTATTTCAGACACAGTAAGAAATTTTACTACTTAAGACATTTTAGCTAATACTATTATTGATTTGATATATTGAACTAAATCTCTTCTGTTATAAAAAGTTTAATTTAAATATGAAGTTTAGAAGTTTTACTTTCTGATTCACTAGGGACCTCCTCTTCTATTACATGTTCTGATTCTAGTTGAATATCACAAGCAGGCTCTGGTTGACTGTGACAAGCAGATTCTTGCTCCAAAGAGATATCAAGATCATTATCTTGAACTCTGTCAGAAGGGGCTGGCAAAGGTTGCGGCTCAAAATGCAAAATCAGGTCTCCTTTCATGTCTAATTAAAAGAACACAAAGACACAGAATGATCAACTGGAATACAAAGCAAACAAGACTGCAACACTACACTCACATACAAATCCCCAAGAAGTTCAAATATCATTATCTTGTTTCACAACAGATTTAATCCACCTTTTTTTTGTTCCCAAAAGTAGAAGATTCAAAACTGTATAGATCATTAGCCATCTATTCATTCAGAAACTCCATAGGGGTTTCCACTGGAATATGCAGTCTTTCAAAATAAAAGTTGATGTGATAAAGGCTCATCTTTACACAAAAAACAGCTCACAGGAACAATTACACAGGATCCCACTATCTTTATCAAGGAAAAGACACATCCTGACCTATCTGCTCACAAAGCTGGCACTGGAGAGTTATCAGATGGCCCAGGTGTGAAATCCCAGAAGAATACACAACAGAAATTCTGCCATGATCACCTTACCAACTAAGGGTGCTACAAGGGATGTGGGATACATGGGAAGATCACCTTAGGATTGTATGCTTATACATACTTAGGGGAGGAACTAAAGGTAGGGAAAAGAAAGGATCAAGTTAGTCTGGGGAAGAAGAAATGTGTGAAAAATACAAGAATAAGGAGACAAAATGGGACAGTCAGTGCACCTGTCTGGTCATGCACCATGCCTGACAGTCTGTCCTGTCTTCTCCATAAATTCTACTTCTGGCTGTTATCCTGGGTGAGGAACCCTGTATTTTGTATGCATGTGTGTGCACAAAAGTGTAAAGGTCAGCAACTGGAGTGGGGACCAAAAGTCACAGGCACACCTGCATCCAGAGCACTGCTAAATGCAGAGGCCATAATGAGGGAATGTTATGTGGGTATGAGTATCAGCATGTAGTGACTAGCAAATCACTAGCCAGACTAGCCAGCAAGAATGGTAAGAGGCTTACGAGCTGCATATGGAGCACCCGTAAGACTGGGCTGGATATTGGAGAGGCCAGGAGATCTATGAGTTGGCAAATGGAGGGATCAGGAGATCCAAGCATTCAAGCCAGCAACCACGGAGAGTGTGGGATCCTAAGAAACCTGTCAGCAGGTGTGTGTGCATCTCCGAGACAAGATGATCCAGGGTCAGCTACTGGGTAGACCGAGTTTTTACTGTCAGTTCCCACAGGGATTCATAGCATGTGCATGTCTGTGCATATGTTCACATGCTCAGCTGGGCCTGTGCAGCAACAACTGGAGTGGAGCAGCAGACCTTGCGGATTCACACCCCCAGGAGCTGGCAACTTGGGAGACTAAGGATCAAGGGCCAGCTGCTAGGTAGAGCGAGTGTCCAAAGCTACTCACTGAGTAATCCACAGCACGTATTTGAGCATGTGTGCATTTGAGTGCGTACATGGATATGAGAGGTAACTGGAAGGCTACAGGGTCCAGGATGAACTACTGGATAGACTGGGTGTCTAAGACCTGTTACTGGAGCATCCGTAGTGTGGCAGACAGAGATCTGGGATGAAGAGGACAATTACTAGATATACTGAATGTTTAAGACTAAGTGCTAGAGGGATCCATATCGCACATAAAGACATACATCCCACTAACAGTCTTTCATCCTGATCAACCAGAGCAGTAAATAGAAAGAGGCCATTTGTGCTGTTCGTGTTTATTGTGAATGCTGTGTTACCTATGCTGGCCTGTGTGTACTGAAAGCCTGTTTGTGTGTGTACCTACTGTAATGCACACGCTGTCTTGCTACCAGCTGGACCTGGGAACAGGCAGCTGCAGCAGTCTCTCCTCTACTGGGTTACCAGATTCAGCAATCTTCAACAAATTACTTACTCCTGTCTTCACTGTACATTTCTTCAAATGCAGACTCCAGTTCTCTCTGCCATTCTGCTTTTACTTCCAGGCGTTTGTATGCTGGCACTAAAAGCTGAGGTGGCATCTGTGCAACAACCTGCCTTCTGCGCATCCGATCCATACTCTGCATTTGCTCCAGTTCTTCCAGTAGCCTTTCCCTGTCCTTCAAGTATAAAGAAGGGATAACATAAACCTTTAGTGTTCACATTCAGACAGTCATATATCAGGACTGACAAAATGCATCCCTTTGGTTACCATGATGTCTGTTTAATCCTTAATGTTCAAAGTTAATCTTATTCTAGGGGAGAAAATGCTTCCTCAGGAAAAGGCTGTATCTGACCTTTAGACACAGGAGTCGTCAATACCTAGAATATCTAATGTTAAATAAAGGATCAGACTGTACGCTTGTAAGCCAACTTTCCTCAACAAAATTAAATCTTCTACTTTACAAAGTAAACAAATACTTCTTTTGGCAAGTTACTTTTGTTAGTATATACTTCAGCAATTCCTACTTTTTAAGATGTGAACTAAGTATTCTTTGGCATGCTACGATTATATATGAGACCTTTTAAAAAAAAAAGTTGAAGTTTGGTGGGTTTTTGTTTTGGCTTTTTTTTTTTAACTTCAGGAGCATCATTAATATTTCCATAGTTCCCCATTTTAGTTTGGTTACTCATTCAAGGCCAATCATATTTCAACTGATAAAACAGGAAGCTTTTGCTATTTCTAGCCACCAAAAACACATGTGAAGGTAACAGACAACTTTTGAGTGTAGTGTTCAGTATAAAGACCTTTACCAATAGTTCGGGTTTTCCTTCTTAAAGGAAACAATTTCAACATTTCCAGACTTGCATGTTAACAGAACTTCAGTCTTTAACTAAAAACTTTGAAAAGTTTTTAAAAAATAAAAAAGCCTGTTACCTCCTTAATAATAAACTATTTTCCCCCTGAAGTACAGAATAACTAACTCCAACTAAAGCTGATTTAGAAAAGTAGAACTCATCACCTATTAAGAAAGTTTAGCTTGATTATTACCTATTGGTTAATAGCTGGTCAAACATTCAGATAACAAAAATTAGAGTTCTTTCATTCTCACTCCTTCCAGATGCCAAAAGAAGCAAACAATATTTGCTTTTTTTTCTAAGACATTCTGCAAACTTCATTTAGTCCTTTAATTTTCCTCCTGTAAATGTATTCCTTTATTACACCTACATACAACATAACAGCGGTCACTTTGATATTAAAAACAGGCATAACTACTTTGTCTACCTTGGCCAAGTGGACCTTCTTCAAGGCATGACTTCCTCTGAGATGTGCCTTTTCAAGCTGCTCTCTTCTCTCCCTCTCTGCTTCCCTATGTAGTTCCTCCAAACGTTTCCCTTCTTCTTCAGCAGCTAAATGAGCATCTGGCTGGCAGTCAATCAATAGTTTAGTCCACGAAGTTCTTTGATAGTTTAAAGCATATGTAACAATAAATAAATGAATAATTCCACAGCAAAAGCACTTTATAAAAGACATACAATGCCATATAAACACCCTTGAATGTTTATAACTCTCAGTTGAAAGCAGGACCAAACCAATTTTTTACCTTTGGAAAAGAAATTTCATAAGTTTAGGTATCCAAGTGTTCCAGTTTTAAGCTATACTGGGGACGACCATTTGCACAATTTATTTGTTATAGTAGAGTGGTCATTTTTCCTACATGGTAAATATAAATAATACATGGTAAAGTGAGTAATACAGTCGATAACACAGACTGAGTACTTCTACCCTCACGGTTTTATTTTAAACAAGGGGAAAAAAAAATCCAGAAGCATTTTCAAACTCTTTTAGGAAACCAGAAACAATCTGCAATTTTGAAAGGAGGAAAATCTTACCAACATGAAAATTAAAAAATATTTAAGGAAAAAAAAAATCATACCATGTAAGCGAGGCTAAAAAATTACCATTTTGGAATTTTTAATGACAAAGCTTGAGCAAACTACAGTATCCCCTGCTATTGTTTAGATCTAGTCCTTCAAATATCAAGAAAACCTAAAAGTTTATGAATTAAAAATTCACGAATGCACTGAATAAAAAAAAAAATTGAGACCTTTTCTAGTCTAAAACAGGCTGATCCAGAACAGGAACTTAGAATATGGTCTCACATTGCTAATAAAACAAACTGTTATTTGGTTTACTTTTCAAAAATCACCTCTAAAAGCTAAGCTCTTGCTCCATCTCTCATTCTTCCAGGTCCTCCCCTTCATCTGATCAGACTTTGGCCTTTGTCTTTCCTATTTGGCAAAAATCTATTCATTGTTCCTTTTCTCCAGATTAGACTTCTACCTTTTATGCAAGCTGAAACTGTTGACTGCATGAACAGATGAACACAAATACAAATGAACACAAATCTGGGAGGACATTGCTAAGAAGAAGGGAAGAGAGAAGAGCAAGGTAGTCGCAACTATTAATTCAGCGTAAGCCAAAAATCTTCCAATTTGGATGTTCAAATGTCATGCCAGTCTTGTGAACTCACCTTCTTATAGAGGTCTGTTTATGAGGGAGTGTCAGGTGTGATCCCCCAAGTGACTGAGCACATAACAGGCTTTACAAGTTTGCCCTAAGATTCTGTTTAGTGAATTGCGTAGCGGCTGCTTTATATAACTTCATACCTTTAAACAAGTTCTAGAAAACCAAACAGCTGATATCCAGACACTATGCAATGTAGAGAAACTTATAAGGAAGCCTGTAGCACAAACACTTGGAGTTAATCACCTGCTCTTCGTCCACTTCTCTGTCCACATAAGCTCCAGAAATATGGTAACGTGTAACAGAAAAGTTGCCAGAACCATAGGGCTTCACCAGAGGAATCTTTTTCACTGTCTAGGAAGAAAAGTACAACTACAGCTGTATCACAGAAGAGTATCTCTAGCAAAGCAATTAAACAGAAAATACATGATCTGTAAAGTTAGATCATTATTAAAAGAAATTCACCCCCCCGAATTCTCTCCTGAAAATATTTTTGTTTAAAACTTATACATGTAATAATTAATAAACCACATCAGCACAAGGTAGATATAGAGGGCTTTAACAACTGAGAGCATTTAAAAGTCTTAGGCAAACTCCTCCACAGAAACGGACATTCATCAGCGTCATGTTTCAACAGCACTAACTCAAAAGCATTTGAGTTTAACGCACTAATAGAAATCCCACTAATCCCACTTACAACATCTGTCACACTCACCTAAGAGCAGGGCAACCACTGATCCACAATGTAATTACACCTAACAGCAAAGTAACAGTTTCCAAGTACAGACTTGCTCCAGGAAACACAGAACAATTATGTCCAATTATCAGCTGACCAAAGAGCATTTTCTGTAACTTCACTGCAAAGTGTCAATTGATACAATGCTAAGTTGCTGGGTTTTTTTTAATATTTTGGGTACACATTTCAACTCTTTTCTGAAAGTCTGAACGATGCGTGAGACACTCCCTCTTCTTTGGCTTCAGCCTGATGTTCTCAGTACTGAGGTAGCTAGGTTAGGTATTCTTAGTATTCTGTAGGACCTGTGTTCCAGGGAGAGTTCTGAAGGATGCCAAGATTGAAACCAAAGATCATTGAAAGGTCAACAAAAAACAATATTTATCATCAAGAGGTGGCCAACAAAACAAAAAAAAACAGGAGAGAGGAAGAAGGAGAAAAATAAGCCCTCAGTACGACTCCCCCAGTCACCCAGAAGTTACTTATGAAGTTATCTTACTGACCCCAGAATGCCTAAAACTACCCATAGCAGAAGTTGCATCCTTGGAGTGTCGGCAGGCTCATGAGTTGGCGGGTGTCCCCGCAAAAGGCAACATTGTCCTTTGATGTGAAGCTTACTTCTCCCTCCCAGCATGAGCTATCTGCTTTTTATACAACTAATTGGTGACGCCTACCTGGGCAGGTGTGGCCAGCAATGCCCAACTAGAGGCCTTCAGTCCCTCCCAATATTATGTAAGTGGTACCCCTACTGCGCATGCGTGTGTACTTTGGAATTCCCCCCGAGCTTGCAAGCTATACCTCAGGGGGGTCTTTTCTAAATGAGTCTAGGGGCTTACTTCATCCTCCTCCTCTTCACTTTCTCCTTCAAATGCCCTTAGAAGGCGGTCAGCCAATAATAAGACACCAGTTAACTGTAGTTTGTACCAAACTCTTCCTTCAAGGAGGAAGTTCCCATTTATCAGTGCTTGTTTTCTCATAACTTGGCAGGAAAAAGATAAACTCCCACAGGTGGCTCGGCCAAACATAGACCAAAAGTATTAACATCTAATTAAGCCCTGATACAGACCTGCCATTGTACTTCTTTAACATCCCCTCCATTAATTTTCTCTCAGCTTCCTCTTCCTCAGATTTTTCCCTAAAAGAGATTCTGGTCCACAGTAACTAAAACAGCAGGTTTCATAGCCTGAGTGTTTTAAAACTAACATGACTGTAAACAAATGCATATACACAAAGAGCAGCATTAAGTCTCAGGAATATCTTAAACTTATCTCTGCATAAGATTAGGCATACAAATTTTAATATTGATTATCACTTACTATTTTAAAAAGACTATAGAAAGTGAAGTCTTTAAATTAAAATCAAAGAATCACAGAATCATTGAGGTTGGAATGAACCTTGAAGATCATAAAGTCCAACTAGCACTGCCAAGTCCACCATACCATGTCCCTGAGCACCACATCTTTTAAGTATCTCCAGGAACGGTGACTCTACCACTTGCCTGAGCAGCCTGTTACAGTGGTTGACAAGTCTTTCTGTAAAGGAATTTCTCCTAATATTCAGTCTAAACTTCCCCTGGTGCAACTTGAGGTTATTTTCTCTTGTCCTGTCACTTACTACCTGGGGGAAAAACCCAACTCCCACCTGGCTACAACCTCCCTTGAGGTAGTTGTAGAGAGCAAGAAGGTCCCCCTGCGACTCCTTTTCTCTAGGCTAAACAATCCCAGCTCCCTCAGCTGCTCCTCATCAGACTTGTGCTCCAGACCATTCACCAGCTCTGTTGCCCTTCTCTGAACATGCTCCACCACCTCAATGTCTTTCATGGAGTGAGGGGTCCTCAGCTGCTGAAACTAGTTTTAGCCTTCACAACAGAACTTCAGTAACTTATTTTATGGTCCTTAAGTAAATGCATGTTATTCTAGCAGGAAAAAAAATAGTTGCTAACTTTCTTAATCAATAAAAGACATAGAATTTTAGCAGTTTCTACACTAACCAAAACACTTGTAGATATTGATTATAGCTCTGAAAACAGAGAAGTCCCATGCCTAAACCTCATTAGCCAGATCACCACCTGCTTGCCCTGCACTGTGTTACTTTCAGAACGTACAATTAAACCTGTCTTCTGAATTATTTTAAAAACGTAAAATTAACAAATCAATAATTAATAATTACATGTAATCAATCAAATCTTCAGAATTTTATTCAAAAGCTAAGAAGACATGAGAATTATGTTGGAGGCTACAGTTTTCCAGTTAATGTCAAAAGCAACTGAGGCTGAATAAAATACCATACTCTGCATCAAGGTTTTGTAACTCTTTCCTTCTTTCCCCTCTCCCCCTACTGCCCCCAAAAAGCAAGGAATCTCATACTTAAATCTGGCAAAACTGGAACAGCAATGTATCATGAAATGGGGGAAAAAAAACCCAAAATAAAAGCTACAACCCCAACTCTACAAATGCTATGAATACTCCATAAGAGTATAGTGACACTTTTTAGGGTTTATTTTCATTACATAAAAATCTAGTAGATCATACCAAAAAAAAAGTTTACAAGAACTCTGTGACACTTGTTAATAAAGTGGTGTTTACAGTTTAACTTCAGTTAAGTAACTCCTCATTTGGTCTAAATAAATATGGCCTCAATTCCTGAAATCCATCTTTCTGAGAACTAAAATTGTTTATGACAATAGAGTAAAAATACTTCTTTTGTAACTGGGCAAAGTAACAATAATAGGAGCATCTTCAGAAAGTGTTTCTTATATTCCAAGTAATCATCCAATGAACAGCACGGCCCTAGCTCCATTTTATAAAATTTTAGTCAATTTTCTTGCAACAAAGCATCAGATTATGATTATAGTTATATTCAATAAGCTCCTTATGCAAATTGATTCAAGAAAACAAGTGTGGTTATGCAGATGACCCTGTAATTTGCTGCAATTCACAAAATTTTAAAGTTAAGCAATTCAAATTCACTGCCTTTTCAGTAATGCATCTACAAGATAAAGCCCCAGATTTACCTCCCCCAAACTAACAGTCAATATCTTTTGTTTTCTCTCTCTCAAAAGAGAAACAGGAATAAAATTTCTCATCTTTCAATTACTTAGCATTTTACCCCATGAAGTACATGGCACCCAACAACTCTTTGAAGAAAATAACTTTATTCTTCACCCTGTGCCCTCCCAGCAACACAGGCCTACCACAAAAGGATTAAAATCCATACAGATACAATAACTAGGAAAAAGGCTCACAGTCAGCCAGTCTTTAAATGAAACAAATTGACACACTGTGATATATTGAAACAGAGCAACCTCTTTCCTCAACAAAAACTCAAGATGTCTGCAGAATTACTGATTCAATTTGCCCTTATCAGAGCATGAACTTCATAAAAGAAACAAAACCCACACATTGTAGAAAATCCAGATGTTTGCAAACTCTGCTAAAACCAGTTAAAATCACATCTGTTGAAAAGACAAGTAAATGACATTTGCTCATGGGTGGAAATGCATTAATTTTTTCACATCGATTTTAGGAAAGGCAGTTATGATTTTGCAATACTTAAACAGAGTACTGACCCAGACCTGTCATCCAACACAGTCACAAATTCAATTGTACCAGAACCTGGGGAAACCCTAAAACAAAGTCTAATGCTACCCTTGTGAAAAAAGACTAAAGAACGAGGAGAAAATTCTGTGTTTATAAAACAGAAGCAGGGATGCATTACTGATGTTGCTAGATAAAAATATTAAATAGTAACTACCATGTCATTTTAGCTGTTACATCATCTACAAATATGGAGGTTAACTGCAGTGACTACCTGTGGGGTTTTTTAAAATAGAATGCAACATAAAACACATCCTAAACTGCAAAAGTTTCTAGAAAGCAATGCTGCAGCACCTCATGCTTTTCCAACAATGCCAGACTGAGCAACAGAAACATCTGAAATGCAGGAAATAAAGACTCAAAGTTTGGACTGATACAGACTTCATCTGCACTACAGCAGATACAACAGGAACAACGTAGAGGAGAATGTTCCTCTACACGTGTAGAGGAAAACAGCAGCATGAAGGAGTGTGTGAATTTACCTGAACTGTATTATACAGGTTCTTATTCCAAATGTTCTAAATTTCAATATTGCATGTACTTAATTCACCAGAAATAACCCCAAACTTTACCACTCCAACACTTGCTTTAATCCTCATTCATATCCAACTTCCATAATATGAAAGTCCTTGGACAGACAGTGAGGAGACCTACGGAAAGCAAGTACTGAGGGATGCAAATGAAAGTATACAGATACTCCTTCTAAACATTCTGCAAACTGTGAGTATCAAACCTTAATTGGTTTTTCCAGACACAATACCAACCCCCATCATCCCGCACCCTAACCTGTACATAGTGCTGGATGTTGCTGGGAAAAGTTTTGATAACTTCACTGGCTGTGAGAGGCATAAGTATACTTCAATCCTTTCTTTCCTTTCCTTTTCAGCGGTCTGAATATCCCTGAATCCAACGGTCTGAAAATCCCTGAACCCAATGGTCTGAAAGGGCACAGCAGCAGACAAGGCAACTTAAATTCTGCATTAATGAAGTTCTGTTAAATTAAACTTACTAAAAGTTAACTCCAAAGAAAAATGTACATAATGTTCCTTCTGCAGCATAGATCTGCAATCCTACAGGAGCTTCTACACCTATGCAGAATCTCTGTAAAATCAAAGCAGCATGATGGAGGTACAAAGTTACCCCTAAAAAGGTTACAGCCTCCTCAATAGCCTTGGGTGCTGGTTTTCTATCAAAATTAAACAGCTTACCCTATATTTAGCATTCCCTACAAGAACCAAAGAAATTGGAGACAAAAAAACCCAACAAAAACCCCACAGCTAAAAAGGTAGTAATGTCTTTATTACAGAACTAAACAAAAAGCTATTACTGCATCATTGTGACAGAAAGCTGAGGTGGTGTGTACATGCTGAGAAAGATCATTGTAGAGTTAATACCACTGTGGCTACTAAGTGAAAATGAGATAATGAAAAAAGTTTAAAAAGACACGTTAACCACAAAAATAAGATCTCAGATGACAAGAAATAAAAATCACACCTAACAAGAGATCAGAAGTAAAATACCAAAGTCTAGTAGTATGAAGTCTGTTAATACATAATTCATTAGTTCTCTTGTTTTTTGTTGAACCACTCTCCTTACAGTATGCAAATACCAATTTTAGATATCCTGCTGTGAGGAGTCAGACCAGTAAACAAATCATTACATTACATGGTACCCTGAAATTGTGATCACTATTGCATCATGGATACATACCTCAAAAGGACGTGGTGGAGGGGGTGGTAGGCTTGCAACTTTCGCTGCTCTTTGCCTTTCCACTTCCAGAGCATGTTTACGCGCATCTGTTCGTCTTGGGGGGAAAAACCAAACATCCCACCAAAACAAAACAAAACAAACAAACAAAAAAAAGAAGCAAAATTATTCAAGTATTCAAGCAACAGTGAGAGCACTGTACAAAATAAAAAGCAAACCTAAAACCAAACAGATTTCGATGTACCTGCACTGAATGTTTGAGACATAAGGAAAAGCACACTGAAAAGTCAAGAGAACTTACGCTGGAAGGCACCACTAAAAATTAATTTCAAGTAATGCAAAAATGTTAATACACGCAACCTTCTAAAGAACAGTGCAAAATCCCTGTTTTCCACTTCTGAAGGAAGCACCCATGTCACTTCACCAGATTTTAACTGCTCAAATGTAGACAAAATTAACTATTTAATCAACAGGTCTCAGATCGACTCAAGCACAACTATCCCCAAGAGGACACAGATAATTTTTCATGCCAGCTCAATTTTGGTCCAATCTGCTTAATAAAAAAATCCTAACAAGGAAGACCATGACTAATGCAATAGGTCTTTTTCTTCAAGTGGGTAATTCTTCATCAGAAACTGGCCTGAGAACATTTCACTTCATGTCACTGAACAGCTGTCAGCCAACAAGCTTGACTGAAAATAGCAACACAGGGATGAAAGCTCCCCCACTCATGGAGAGTCTATAAGGCCAGCTTGTATACCAGACATTTTTGTCTTGGTTTTATAGCTACAGCTCTTATCAAAAGCCACAAGCATTGTCCATGACCATTAATTCTCTAGCCCATAAAATTTCAAGTATGAAAAAGCTCCAAGCATCAAAATTTTTGCCTTTCACCTTGTGACACTGTAAAACGCATTCTTAATAAAACTAAACAACTATTGCATACCGGGCTTGCTCATGAAGAACTTTTTCTTTCTGGTACTTCTGCTCTTTCAGAGCTTTTCTATGTCTCGTCTCTGCTCTTTGTTTCCTTTCTTCTGCTTGCTTTGCCAGAGCTTCTAAGTCAGGTTCCTTAACAATAAAATATTGTAAGCACTTAATACAAGATTTTACTCACTTCTCATACTGCCAGTGTGATATTTCAAATTACGTATTGCTGGTAAGAAGCACAAGCTAGAAACGACTTTCTAACTGTATTAGGGTAAAAATAATAACTTTTCTTTTTCTGCCATCTTTATTCTCTTCCTCTCTACCACCAACAGCAGCAAACCTGCCACATTCCTTAGCCAATTTAACCAAATATTGATGTAGAAACCTTAGCTTCTCTCTGCATCAGTTTGACAAAGAGGATAATATAAATATAGTTACATACATACACAGCTTAGCAAATGTGGACTGTGTAGAGAAAGCGTGTTACTACCTTTCAGTCATTAACTGCAACAGTCACGTATCAACAGAAACATTTCTTTATCATTCGTTCTCTGTTTTTATGACACTGCTTCCACAGTCTTTCAGAAATTCACCCATCCTAGCGTTGGAAAGGACTTTACAAAGAAGTTGATCTAAAGACACAGATATGGAAAGGCATAATGCTATTTTACTTGTGTTAAAGATCCTGACCAATTCAGGAAGTAAGCTACTTTGCAAAATTCATGTAAGAAATCCGTGGGACCACTGGCTGATTTCTATAAACCCAGTTCAGAGTCAAATCTATACAAAATTTCTACCCAACAGCCACAATGATCTCTCAAACAGAGCCTACACAAGTTACAGGATTTTAAAGACAGTGAAACCAGTTTATAGGTGCAGAATAAAAAGTGACATCATTTTGCAATCTAGTCAAAGACCTCTGAAGCTCTTACCAAGGCTTTCCATGTCACTTGAGCATTGAAGGGGAAAAAATGTTAAGTGTATTATCTTAACCATAGACAAGATAGAGGTTAGAGAAAAACCTAGTATATTACTGCCATAATTGAGACAAGGAGTCACCATATGCAATTTAGTCAAGCACAAACATACACTATAATATATGTATACAACCTAGTGCAAAAAAAATAACCTTTAAAGTCTGCATAGCAAAAGCCTTAGCAGATAGGCCTGTAGAGCAGTCTTGTGAAAAGGCATCTGCAAAAAACTACGTAACCATTTCTAAAAAGTTTTCATTCTTAAAAAAGTTGTCTGTTTAGGTATTAGGATTCTAAAACTAAAACTATTATAAAAACAAAACTAAACAGCAATCTTGCTATTTTAAGAACATAAAAAACTCCTCTGACAACATGTGCTGGTTTTGGCAGAGGTATGGGGCTGTGTTTTGGATTTGTTATGAATATAGGTTTGATAACAGTGATGTTTTTGTCATTGCTGAGCAGTGCTTGCACAGAGCCAAGACCTTTTCTGCTTTTTGTACTGCCACACTGGCAAGGAATTTGGGAAGAAACACAGCTGGGACAGGTTGACACAAACAGACAAAAGGGATATTCCACACTACAGGACATCATTTCAGTATATAAAGTTCAGGGAAGGAGAAGGAAGATGAGGAGAGTTGGAGTGATGGTTTGTCTTCCCAAGTCACTGTTACATGTAATGGGGCCCTGCTCTCCTGGAGGTGGTTGAACACCTGCCTGCCCATGGGAAGCAGTGAATTAATTTCTTGTTTTGTTTTACTTTGCCCGCGTGCACAGCTTTTGCTTTCCCAGTTAAACTGTCTTTATTTCAACCTGCAAGTTTTCGACCTTTTTCCCCTTCCAGTTCTCTCCTGTGCCCCACTGGTGGGGGAGTGAGCTATGTGATGCTTGGTTACTGGCTGGGATTAAACCACAACACAATAATTTAATACTGTATTTACTTACATTCTCCTTGGCCTGTCGGTGACCCTCACCAATTGCTCTTAAGTTTGATAAATACAGTTCTTCCAGGGCTTTCATCTTTTGATCCTGTGCTTTCTGCCATTGAGCTCTCAGTGCCTCCTCTAACTGATGCAATTGTTCTTCTCTCCTCTGCTTTACCTTCTGCCTTATCTGCAAGGCAATATACTTCTGCTGCTCTCTAACCTGTAGAAATAGCATTTATGTTTTGTTAGCAACTCAAAAAACCCCAACACTTTTTGCAGCAAGACTTTCCACAACATAAGTCCACTCTCCTTCCAGCTTTCCATCTCATCTACTATTCCATTAACCATCTGGCCAGAAAATACTTTACTGACACGTTTTAGTGGTGGACTAGGCAGTGCTGGGTTAATGGTTGGCTTGATGATCTGGAAGGTCTTTCCCAACCTAAACAATTCCATGATTCTACAATACTATTACCCTGAAATTTAGCTTACATTAAATTATTTTTCAGTTGATTTTTTCTAAATTATTTGTTATAGCATCACATGAAATACAAACCATGGAAAAATACAGACATACTTGTTGTAGCCTCAGTTTTCTTCTTCTTTCATATTCTTCTTTCAGAAGCATGGCTTCTTCATTAGGACTATGCCTCAATTTCCCAGCTGTTGTAACTTTCCTCTTCATCTTTGGATATCGTGAATAATCAACTTCTATGAGAACAACACAAAGAAAAACAGAAATTGTGCATAAATTACATAGGTAAACCAGCTATAAAAAACAGGCATTGCCATAACTTTGCCAAATCTATCACGGTATCTAAGTGTGTGAGCTACAACTGTTCACATCTGTTCCAACTCACAGTTGGACTTGATGATCTTGGAGGTCTTTTCCAACTTTAACAATTCTATGATTCTAATTATAATCAACAACACTGGCACTGTCTTTGTCACAGTCACAAAAGGTACTGTTTCTGAGCTATTTTGAGCTATGTACCAAACTCTGCAATAGTATCACATTCTACTTTGTGGACCAGCCATGCACATTTGCAAAGTGAACAGAGAACACCATACCCATTCCTGGGAAGATTTAAAAAACAAACCCACAAGCTACTGAAAAGCACACCACACAGTAAAGCAGACTGGTCACCTAGGTGATTTGTATTGAAATATTCTCATAGCCCTTGTACAGAGCTTGTTAATGATTTTGGCTGCAGTCCAAGGTTTTCTGCTTTGACGACTGTGAAACTCTAACAGTTTGCATGCCAAGCATTTCGCTGGAAAGCTGAAATTGCTTACTGACAATTTTTTTATTCAAGCTGTCTTACACAGCCATTTCAAATTCTGTTTCCCTGTAGATTTCACTGTGAAATCAGAATCTGCTGGTTCTACGGATTGCTTCCCATTTTCCCTGCTATTATAATTTTCATCTGCACAAAAATAAAAAAAAAAGGACTTCTTCATCTGATATGCAGCCTACTCCAAAATTTCACACCCCCTCCCCAATACTTTATTGTATCTTTAAATATTTATAACCCTGAAAATACTCTCACAAAACAAATCAAAGACTTTTGAAAGTCTTTGGTTGTGACAATGACTTTCAAAAGCCACTGCTTAATTCTAAAAAACCAGAAGGTTTTTACTAATGAACAATTCACACCCCTCTAACGATTTAACCAACATGTGACACCTGGAAAGATTTATTTTCAGCATCATGTATCATATTGTATCTATGTCTAAATACACTAAGATAAGTATATATATTTAGATATATATACTAAGATAAGTATATATACTTAGTATATTTAGACATAGACACAATATCACAGATAAAAGAGCAAAACTCTAAAGAAATCAGGTGAGGTGTAAAGCCGAAGTAATTATTCATAAGATACTCTCGGTACAAGGTTATTAAAGCAATGAATCTCAAGCTTGTTACAGCATCAGCAGGGACAGAAGTACCATGGCTCCTGCCAGCCCCCCCTTACTCAGCGTCTGAGCCACAAAGCAGAAGTTTATCAATGTAACTAAGGAGCAAGCTAGATTCTCACACACACACTCCCAAAGAGAGGAAAAACGTAGAGGATGACCAACACAAAGCCGAGATCTAAAACCGAAAGGACAAGAGCCAAAGGAGAGTGCAAACGCCACGCTCGCCCCGGCTCAGCCGCAGTACAACGCGGGGGACGGAGCATGCGAGAGGCTCGGAGCCTGCTCGGTCACTGGGAGCCTCCGCCGGGGCCGCAGCTGGGTCCACCAGAGCTGAGGGGGCACAGCGCGAAAGGAGGAGAAAGGAGAGCGGCCGCGAGAAGGCGGGAGCGGGCGAGGAGAGTGAGGGAGGGAGCGGAGCCGCGCGCACGTACCCGCCGCCGCCTGGGCCCTCCCGGCCGCCGTGGCGCCAACGGCCGCCGCTCCCGCCGCGTGACCCCGAGCCCGCCGCCAGGAGTAAAGGGCGCATGCGCACCTGCCCGCTCCGCCCGCCCCCAGCCACCCGAGCCCCGCCCCCTCCCCCCGTGGCCAATGGAGTCTCGTGGCGGCAGCGGGGCCGCGCGCGCCGAATATAAAATGGGCGTTATGGGGGAGGGAGGCACTTGACCCTTGTCACCTCACGCTGGTGTAGTTTGTTTCCTATCAGCCCCTTCCCGGGACAGATCTAAGTCAGGGCAATGCCTCGCTCCCCTAATCGTGCAATCTCAATACGTACGTGAAAGGAATACGTACGTGAAAGGGTTAGTCACCCCGGCTGTCTCACAGCAGTGCACCAGCAGCCCGCAGTCGGAGTTTCCAAGTGTTCGCATGGGAGGGGCACTGGCTACGCTTGAAGTGCTGAGGGAGCATAATAATACTGAATCCTGCTAGTTCTACCTCACTGATGTTACCTCCGTGTAGCTTCCCTGTTCAGCATTCTTTTTCGATGCATTGCATCAGTAAGAGTATCATGGATTTATAGAATGGTTTGGGTTGGAAGGTTGGAAGTGGACCTTGAAGATCACCTGGTTCCGGCCCTGTTTAGGTCATGGTAGTGCCCCTGGACTTGCAGTGCTGCTCTGCCCATCTTCTAGGCTTGCATATGACTTCTACAATCAGCAGATCTTTGCTGCTGCATCAACCTCGTAACTAGTGCTGATATTTCCATTATAAACCTAACTTTAACTAAGTCTGCTCCCTGTAAGTATGATGCAATACTTGCTTGCTTTTGTGCTTACTTCTTTGCTTTGGAGAGGGTATTTTTACAAGAGCATATAGTGACAGGACAAGCGGGAATGGATTCAAGCTCAGAGAGAGTAGGTTTAGATCAGATAATAAATAATAGGAGGAAGTTCTTTGCTGTGAGAGTGGTGAGGCACTGGAACAGACTGCCCAGAGAAGTTGTGGATGCCCCATCCCTGGAAGTGTTCAAGGCCAAGTTGGATGGGGCTTTGAGCAACCTAGTCTAGTGCGAGGTGTCCCTGCCTGTGGCAGGGTGGTTGGAACTAGACAATCTTTAAGGCCCTTTCCAGCCCAAACTATTCTATGAATCTATGATTCTTCCACACGTTTTACTTTTCTTACTAGAAGAGACCATTTATCATATGTGTGAGACTTGCAGCAGTTGGGAATTGAAAGTGGAGTTGTGTGATATCCTCGATTTATGAAGAATGTGAATGTTATTCACATTGAGAGAAATAATTCTGCCACACATATAGATGAAGCAAGAGAGGCTGTGCTAGACTGTTTCTTTGCATAGAGCACCTTCCCAGGCTCTGAGCTGCTGCTGCAAAAATCGAAGAAATGTTTTTTAATCATAACTAACCAGGCACAAAGGAGAAAATTGGTTGTCTCATGCTGAAACTTGAGTGCAAAATGTAGCTACTTTCTATGGCAGTTTCTTATAGAAAAAGGAAAAAACAAATTTTGTATTAGGAGCTAACTTTCCTAGTAACCTACTTAATTGTGCCCTGCAGGATTGAAACCAGTAGGCTGAGATTACTTGGTAAAACTTAGTGGTTTGGTGCATGCAGATGCATGGCCACACAGGAAATAGGCTAAAAAATACAGAATTATAAAAGAAAAGACATGAGCATAGGAAGAAGAGGTAACACAGCAGCTTTATGTGCTTTCTTCCCCACCTTTTACATTTCACTGCTAAACTACCTTCTTGTTCACAGACTTTTACTTTCTGACAAGTGCTTGCAACTTGCTGCAACCTCCTGACTGTAATAGCTGATACCAAGTTAATACCTGATTAGACATCGAGATGTTTCACAGTATGCATATTGAATAAATTAAACTTGAGAAGTGCACTTTCAAATTGTTTTTCAGTCTCCTTATTGGATTTTTTTGTCCTTCAGCATTTTCATTATGGCAGCGTTTTCCACAATAACATCTCTTCTAAATAGCTTTATCCTGCAGGTCAACGGATAATAAAAAAAATTGAAGATAGTCTATTAAGGGAGTAATTGAGATTATGGATTTTAGAATCCTCTACTTATAAAATGTGAAAGAGGTCAAATATGTGCTCCTTAATTATACTATTGGATAAAAGGGATATTATGAAACCTACACGTGCTGGGTAAGAATTTTGTTTCAAGGGTGTTTTCTGTCATTGTCTTGCAGAATTATTTCTGCTACCACTTAATTTACATACGTATATTGAAAACCAGTGATTTTAATGCTGTAATGTTTTCTACTTTTTACTACACTCATTTGAATTACAGTATTACAGGCCTGCATTAATTCCTTCCCCTTGTGAAGTAGACGGTGTTCCTTTTATAAAAGGTGAATAGTGATGCAGCAGTATCGGTGCATCTAGTCAGGCATATATAAAACTGGAGGTACTGGCTCCCCTGAGCTTCAGTTACTGGTCACATTTCTCCTGCGGAAAAAGAGTTATACTTGCAGCAGTTATCTACACAGTCCCAAGATGGCTGGTGGAAAATTTGAATTTCTTTTCAGGAACAGAATGCTTTCCATACATAAAAAATGTCTCACAGAGTGAGTCTATGTGAATACACAGATTTGGAAGAAATCATTTCAGTTTCATGCATTTGAAGTTGAAGAGGGGTCGTATGACTGTGAAGCCTGCTGCTGAATTGGCCTGCAGTGTGCAGTCAGGAGCTCAAATCACAGTACAGGCCTTGTGCTATTCCAGAAAGCAGCTTTTTAGAGCAGTCCTGTCTGTACTTCCCTATCACAGGATGTTTATTCCATCAGCACATGAACCATTGCAAGAGATTTTGGCACAGGAGCGTTGTCTTGGTGTGCTCTGTGGGACCGTTTAGTCTGAATATGAGATTAGTGAGGCTGGAGTTGCTTTTGTGTGGCCTGAGAGAAAAGATTTCCTGTCTCATGGGCAGGTCTAGCATATGCAACCTGTACCTCCTACTGCCACATAGAAGCACTTGCTCCTTTCTTCATTAGAAATTCTTCACTGTCCACTCCTGTCTCTCACTTGTACAAGGGAAGGATGACCTTGTAGGCTTTTCTGCATCTTCAGCAGGGAGGCACTGGTTTTATAGGTTTTCTGAGGTCTAGTAATGGAACAGTACAAACACCTGACAGCTCACCCTTGTGCAGGACTTGGCACCCTGCATGAATTAAGTATTCTCCTTGAAAACCCCTGAAGGAAGAGCTTTAGAGAAAGTGTCGTATTCAGACACTAAACCCCTCCACCCTGAGTTCTCTAACACCTCATTAGACAGTACTGCAGTTTTCTGCTTCTTGTCTCCTTCTTGCTCATAACTGAAGTATCAGAATGAAATGAGAACTTCTCTCAGTTTGAATTGGCCTTTCTCTGAGTTCAGTATTCCTCAGTGTCACATACCACACTGTCACATAGTTTTAAATGTTTCCCTGTGGTTCATTTTGGTTTGATCTGTGATTACTTTTCCCATGCTGTTCTCTCTTTTTTAGTACCTGACACCTGATGTCTAGTTATCATGACTGCCAGGAACTAACAGGATGTTGTTTTACAAATGTTTGTGATCCTCCAGCTTATACATTTTCAAAACTGCAAAGTGCTTTTGTTAAAGAGTTTGCATTAAGTGCGTTTATGTGTAAGCTTTGCAAAAATAGATGGAGTTTCCTAAGAAGGAAAAAGGGTTAATCTTTCTCTTTGAGACTGACTAATCTACTATGGTCAGCCTGTGCAAGCACAGCCTGTAATAGCCTCTGCCTGAGACTGATTTGGAGATAAATTTTCTTGACAGATGTGGAAGGCTAGCTTTTGTTATTATACTCTGTGTCATGTAATAAAAAGCTGCTAAGCTACGCTTTCCAGTACCAAAGCAACTATATTCAGAGCTGTGCCTGTATAAATTCTCAACGTGCAGATTCTATTAATAAAAAAAGATGTTATAGCTAAAAAAAAAAAAAAAGGGAAGTAAAACATGAAGCATAAAAATGTAGCTGGAAAAAGGATAATTATGTGTAATTAAATTTAATACAACGGACATCCTAAAATTATTGTCCTGGAAAGACAAAGAAATTGCTGTAAATTCAGATACGGTTTTAGATATAAATAGTGTTGTCTTACATAAAAAAAACATGCTGTCCTATGACATTGGTCCAGAAGCTCTTATTAGGGAACAAACAGCAACCTTAAGCAATGCCCATTCTCTGTCACGAATGCTCCTGGGACTTCTCCCAGCATCCTTAGCCCAGCTTAATGGTTTGGGTCTCTGGAAAACAACCAGCCTTGAGGTGGTAAGAGCAGCAACAAGTGATTAAGAACTTATTATTCATGCATGAACCATGGTGCTGCCTAAGGTCATTTTGATTGGGCTCCCAAAGTCTCAAAAAAATGAACTCTCCCGAAGCTTGAAGCCAACAGAACTGAGCTGGATTCAGGTTTTTACAGACAAAAAGGAGCGTTATGTAGCTGTTGTATGTCCTCAGAACTGGTCTGCCTAATTACTCAGTGATGCCAGTGTATCTAGAATTCTACAACACAAACTTGGTGTGTGCACATTAATTTGGTAAAATTCTTGTAACCTGCTTTCAGCCTTCTAAAATATATGGGAACCACACATAGAATTTTCTCCAATTGTTAAAAAGATATGCATAGTAACTATGTGCACTAATAGGCCAATTATGCTCAGTCCAGTGAGTTTACAGCTGGGCTTTGCCAGCTTTTCTCAACTACCGTGCCATATCTTGTTTGGCTAACCTTCCTGTGTTTCTTCTTGTAATAACTACTTTTATTCAATTTCAGAAACTATATTGAACATTCCTTTCTTTATTGCAGGTAGTTTCAAGCAGAAAATAGATCAGTGCTG